CACAGCACAACTCTAATGGGTTTCATCAGTATTCTTGTCTTCACTGTCAGTAAGAAGAATTCAGAGATCATCATCTATGTCGTGTTCATCAAAATCATCGTCTTGAAAAGTAATGTTGCAGGACATGCTATATTCCTTGACAGTGACTGCATGTATTCGAGCATCTAAAGCCAACATCTTTTGCAGCTGCATCCTCAATCACAACTCTTTTTGCATGTGCAGGATATTAGATCAGAAGCGACTCGAGAGCTGCTGCCTCAACAGTTGGAAAAAGGAGCAATCCATTATGATGAATTGTCCATCCCCAAGACCCAGGTGGTAATAAAATACCTCACCACAACAGAACTTGATTGCAAACAAGCAGAAAGTGCAAGCGTGGTGGTCCTCTTTTCTCGTTTGATGACACACTCTGCACAAAGGACGCCATACACTTTTCATCATATACAGATTATTCATCTACCAAGCAAGATACACCACATATTCGATTGCTTACTTCTTTTCCCCAAGAATCAACTCCGTTCATTCGTTTTTTATAGAACCCTTTCTTTGAAACCTAAAGTGCTTACACTCCAAATTTTCCGCCGCCTGTGTACAGGTTTCTTTTTTTTTAAAGTCTTTATCACATACTTCTGAACATAACAGGCAGCAGCTCTTGACATCAAATGCTGAAATTGCAGGTACCAGTTTCTATTGGAGAAGTTGTCAAACTTGCATTCTCTGTACTACCTTCCAATCGCGTCTTTACTTTGGATTTAATTGTATCTTTCCTTGAGTATTCCTCCCTACAGTTTTCATGTACTCTTACTGTTTGCCTCTCCACAGAGCCCATTTCCCATCTTCTAGCATATCACTGGCTCCACTGACCCGTGGAGTGACTTTTATCGCATAAAGAGCACAGCTCTTCCATTTTCAGTATATTTCACGTTTTCTATATATTTAACTTTGCATTATTGTACATAGAATACTTCACTGTCTATAATTGTCTGTGTTTATCATTCAAGTAAGAATGTTTCACATTATAACCTGAAAAAAGCAAAACTGACATTTTGCTTTGTGGAAGCAAAATGTTTATTTACTTAGAAAGTATTAATTGTACCCACAAGTGAAAAACAGTATACCATCATGTGGAGAGTTGTAAGCTCTTTTCTTTTGTTATTATCATCTCCCTAAATCAATGGTTAACTCGTAAAACACAAAAAAATGCAAACGGCCGCCATTTTTTCAAGATGGCGGCATAAACTCACCTTGGATTGGTCAGGATGTTTGTCGTGTTGTTCAGGAACGTGTTCCAAATAATAATACTAATTGTCATTTCGTTATGAATTAGATCAACATTTGGCCTAAAATGCCTCATTTCCACTATTAAAGCCTTATGGCAACCATCTGCCTTTCTTTTGCATTCTTTAAACATTATACTGTAGTTACTTTCCTTCTAATTTCGTCGTATTCTACTCTTCTTTTTGGAACTTCTTTCTTGCAGTTGGGACTCATACTTCCTTCACTGCTAAATTTTCAACCCACAATTCCCTTTTCTTGTTTTTATTAATATTCTTTGTTCCCATTACTTCAGCTGCTCTTGAACTGTTACCGTTCTTCTTCACTTTACTTTATCCTTTTCGCCACTGGTCGTTCGGTCACGTCTCTTTTACGTACTGTTAGCAAGTACTGGCTCCAGAATGTATCTGTACCTGCTCCACTGTTGGTTAAGTCTGGTCTTGAAAGAGCTCACACTCGGTGCCGTCACAACGCTGTCTGGCAGACTGTTCCAAGAGTTCACAACTCTCACTCCAAAAAAGTTTGCTCAGACAATTTTCTGAACTTATTGCTTCTTCAGCCTTAAGCTGTGGCCTTATACAGTACATCGTGCACCCCTTGCCCGCCTATAAATGCTGGGCAACTGCAGGCGCTCCAATTTCTCTGGGTAACTGAGATGCCGTAGTGAGGGCAGCTGTCTGGTGGCCCTCCTTTGGATATTTTCAATCACCTGGCTGTCTATCATATCTCGGGGACCAGACGGGGTGACATTACTCCAAACGGGGAAACACCTCGCTTGAGAGGAGCATTTATGTGCGTGAACGCCCTTCTTATAAGACCTTTACTAGCTTAGTTGCCTGATGCACCTTCTCACAATAGTCCGTTGTTCACATACACACCCAGGTCCTTTTCATATATATTTTGTTTTATCCTCTTCTCCTCTGATCGGCTCGTTAGCCGCTTGGGCGGTCGGTCACGTCTCTGTTACGCATCGTTGGCAAGTACAGTACTGGGCATGCACTGGCTCCTGAATATATCGGAACCTGCTCCAGTGTTGGTCAAGTCTGGTCTTGAAAGAGCTCACACTCAGTGCCGTCACAACGCTGTCTGGCAGACTGTTCCAAGAGTTCACAATTCTCACTCCGAAAAAAATTTCCCTCGCAGTTTTCTGGACTTATGGCTTCTTCAACCTTGAGTTGTGACCCCTTGTGGGGCGAGCGTCCGACTGCTCCAGGTATATTTATTTTTAGGCAGTTGCAGGCGTTCTGATCTCTCTGGTTAGCTGAAGTTCCGAAGAGCACTGAAGCAGGGTCCTAATTAATTATGGTTCCACGCCACTCTTTACCCTTTAAGTTTACCCCCATTTCATTCTTCTGTTCACCAACACAGTTGAACAGTCCTCTGCCTTTACAATGAATTTCTACCCTTTTATAGCCATTTATTCACATTATCATCTCTCTCATAGTACACTTTTCTCAGTCTGTTTCCGTTTTCATGTTTCTTTGCTCTTGCACTTCGTAATAACTCTCCATCATCCTCTACTCCTCCATTACCAATTATTGCATTATCCCTCTACCTCTCGCATTACAGATTTCAACAATTATTCAAATCTTCCCAAAACTATTTTTATATTTCCCATTCTTCTCAGTCGTACATGCCCTCATTTTAACCCACCTTTTTATTCTTGCTGTTAATATCATAATAAGTGGGACTGCCTTCCGTTTATTCTAATCACGTAACTCCACATGTTATCATGCAACAACACTGCCACACCTCTTGTTTTCCCCTAGTCAAACACTCCTTCTTTTCCTCTCTACATTTGTCCTTGCAATTTACCTTTTTCTTTTGCCTTCATTCAGTATCTTTGACCCACGCACAGTGAAACATCCGCAATGTTATTCTTTCGTTTTAATGAAGTAGGATTACTAGTCCATTTTTACCTGGGATGGATGATGTTGAAAAGAAACCTTAAATTAGGAAGAAAATGTTAGGTAAAATGATGTCATATACAGTGTCAGTGGGGAGCGACAGGAAACTGTTCACACAGCACGTAGGAAATACCCACATGTACTGGTAGCACATGCAGTACCACACACTACTGCAAAACTTGTATCCTCACTTGAATACGTATGGTGGAACGTATTATTATTATTATTATTATTATTATTATTATTATTATTGTTGTTATTATTATTATTATTATTATTATTATTATTATTATTATTATTATTATTATTATTATTATTAGGCCTATTATTATTATTTTATTATTAGGCTTATTAGGCTAATATTGACAAATACGCCGCCGACGCGTTATTTGTTTTGATGTTTATATTCTTACTTGATTTTCATCAGTGAGATCTGATATAGAGTTGTGCACAATATTTAGAGACAGTATCAAAGAAGCGCAAAGTGTACAGCTCTATTTGCGGAATTGTTAACCCGAGCACGCTGAGAATAGAGAAAGCGGCGGTCATGTGTAAAATGAACTGTAGTAAGTTAGTATTCGCCACGTGCCGAGTACACAAACACACACACTTCTCGTTGCAACACACACATTCAAACATTATATACGAAAATAAATTGACATTCGATAAAATCGATTCAGTTTATAACTTCATATTGATTCACTATGTATTTGTACATAGGCAGTGTAGGTATATACAATGTACTGTACAGACAGTGCAGGAATACAAATAATGCATATAAACAGTGCAAGTATATAAATAATTCCCAAAGTAAGTGCAAGTATACAAACAATGTAAACACGGCAAATGAGGTATGGGTGAATTTTGGAACTATGAAGTTATGTGTATATTCTCGGGCTCAAACAGGAGGTCTAAAATCAATTAAGAAATCAACGCGACTCATGAAAAGTCGCCGATTTACAAGGTTATCGCAACATTATTAGCTGAGCAAATTGGTTTCTAAACATACTTATAAGCAATTTACTCTTTTATAGAAACTAAACCTTTACGATTATTTTAGCTATGAATATATGCTTCCTCTCCGACACTGTAGAAGACATTGAGAAATAGGTCAAGGCTTTGCTGAACGAGGTTGTGTTAACGAAAGTACACTTGACTGATGAACCCTAAGTACCACGTATAACGGTTATCAGGAACAATATTTCTTTAATTTTTATTTCCTATATACCATGTAATTTTCACATACAAATTTAATATCTTGTAAGAGTAATGTAGTGGCACCGAACGCCCATATCATAGCAGACGATACAGTTGTTGATTAAGACCATGAGACGCCCACTACAAAGAGCAAATTTTAGATGAAATTATTACTGACTTCATATTTTTCAACAAAGCATATAACTGTATTAATTTAAAGCATATATTATCGTCCATTACTAGTATTATTATTACGTATAAAAATTTATGTGAACAAAACATTAGAGCTCGTCAGGTATTGGTAAAAGATTCTATACACTTGTCATTCTTGGTGGCCCCAACAGTTATCATGAAAGCTATAGTCCCTTATACATAGCTCTTAAAAAACCTATATTAGATTTCTATATAACAATTTACCTTCGGATTAATGTAAAATATCTATTAAAATTAACACCATCTTTAAATAAATGAAAATTATTAACGGTGTAAAAAAAAAATCCACAAAATTCCAAATACCTGACTTTCAAGTATCGAGGAATTAATGATTGATAATTAATGAATTACTAAGAAAATAGCGAAGGTTAGTGTGTTAAATTCCAAGAAGACATTGTTGGGTGTTGTTAAAGTATAGTTGAGAGAGTGAGGAGCGGCAGGGCGGGGAGACAGTGTGTCCTGCTCTTCACGTTAAACAGCGAAAGTTATCACGAGAATAACTGCGCAGGGTAAATCAGTGTTCCTTAAGACGTTACTTGTCATTCTTCATACTCAAACACAACTGCAATGTCGAAATGGGTGGAAAAGAAAGTAAACCTCTCTCCCTCTCCTATGAAGAAGCAATAAAAAGAGGTAAGAGAGAAGCAACAGTGTAGTAATGTAGTGTGGGAAGGAGGAAACTAAACAAGGCTTATTTTTAAAGGGATAAGAATTTCACACCTGACTAGTCTATATAACCTCATAACTCTGGTAACCCTTTATTAGGTCCAATTCATCTTAAAGCTAAATGAATCTTTGGATTTTTATAGTTGCAATCGGTAATTTTGACAATACAAAGATACTTCTCTTCGGTAAAAAAAAAATTTCCCAATAGGTATTTCGGATTTTTTTTATCATTATCACTAGAATTCTGTTTGATTAATATTTGTTTCAAGGCTGCTGCAAAATTCTTGTATTTGGTTTGTTTAGGATTATTAAAACGTAGGTTTCTTTGGTTGGTTAGGTCAAGTTCTATTAGGTTTTTAGTAAATGTCGCCTCTTTTATAATGACAAGAACATCTGTGGAAAAAAATGACCAAAATTGAACAACTCCTTATGGTGAGGTGTGTTTATGGCTCCACAACGATTGACTCATGGTGAAATACATGCCAAATGCTGCCAGAGTCATGTTCACATATCGTTCTCGCATTATTAGCTGGTAATGGACGATTAGCCAATTAGAGTGCACTCGTGGTTAGTAGGAACTTAGCTGGTCGTTTTTATTACTTACTATCATCCAAAGAACATCTGTGGAAAAATGAACGAAATCAAACAACGCGTTATGGTGCTAGCCATCTGCTCTTGGATTACCTAAGGAGATGCTCCCCCCATCCCAGGAATTTTCCGTAGATGGGTTGATTTTTTCCGGGTTTGGGAGATGAAAATCAGGCGTATTTTCTGGAAATTACGAGAAATTTTTTCCGTTACCCGGAAAATTCTGGGGATGAGGGATTTTTTTCCGGCTTTGAGAGACTCGTGTCTTTACCTGGAAATCTCTCATTCCCGGAAGTGCTGTGCACCAATTGTTCCGGCTAACGGGGATATCACTACTGTACTGTATTGTATTATGAGAATGACTTTCAAATTAAGTTTTTAAGTGAAAATATTCACACAGGTCATATGGTAATCATTTTGTGTTTTTTTGTCAGTGGGAGAGACTGTATTTAGGTTATACAGTATTATAATTGGGGAGTGCAGTGTTATAATTAGAAGATTTTAGTAGAATTTTTTTACAATTATATAAAAACATGATATATTTATTTTTTCCGTAGTGAAACTTGACTTCCTCTTCCTGTGTCTATTTAATGTACAATTTTTGTCTATACTTGTGAGTCCAGTGAATGCCTTTACTCCCAAATAGAGACACTTTGTTGGCCATGCAGCTAATGCTACCAGTGACCACTTCTTGGTCACCCATGTTAGTTACCTAACAAAAATAGGCTGGCCTTTGAAGAGAAGGGCAGTGTGGTAGAGAAAAGACAAGGAAATTATAGATTATAAAAGGCTTGGCAATTATAGGTATATTTCTCTCACAGGGGATGAGAATGTAAACCAGTAATTATATAACCAGCTCATTTTGAATACACACAGAGAGCAAGAGAGCACACTGCAAACGGTGGGGGAAGACACAGACTGTAGGGGGAGGGGTAGTGTTATGCTCAGTGAATGATGAATACATTTCTACACAACTCATCAAAATGGCCAGCTGGGCATGCATGATTTAAATTTTCATTGGGACCATCTTTCGGATAGAGAAAAGGAGGTATAAAAACTAAAATTTCGGATAGCGAGGGACACCTGCACAGTACTGTATACAGGTATGTATATAGATATTATGTACATCTTTTGACAGAAGTTGTTAGTTTGTGTACAAATATAGATATCAGAAGGATTCCTAAATTAGTCTGACCTCGCAAAGTCTGTTTTTCTGCAAATCTGTGCATTTTCATGAACATTCTCCAGTTACTGTGTTTATCTTTGGTCCTTGCTTGTTTGAGGAAAAAGTCATTACAATACTCTAATGGGGCTTAGAAATAAAGAAAGTACAGCATGCCCTTCAAATTTGTGGATTTTTAATTAACGCATGACACCCTGGATGTACCCAAGAATGTCTAAGGGTAGTTTTAAAGTTGCTGGCATTTTCGCGGCCGGGACAGGGGGCCATTCGTTCTTGAGATGGTAATTTCCTTTACCTGTATTGTATATATGTGTGTGTGTGTAGACACACACACACATATATATATATATATATATATACATACAATAACCTGTACTGGTAAAATAAATAATTGTCCTAAGGGCAAACACATAAAGGGAATATACATTTATATTTGCACATAAGTAAAAATGTAACCCCCCCCTCCCCCCGTCAGGAAATGTTATTCTCGGATTTGGCGATTCACAGCCATTTTGAGAACCCAACCCCCTGTGAATTTGAAGGGCATGCTGTATAATATAATTATAAAATAAGAAAAAGTTAAAAACATGGATGGGTATGTGTGGGAAGTGAATGTCCCGGTATGTGTTGTGGCAGTGGACTGTACCTGTGTTGTCGATTCGCCAGCCCAGTGGCCAGCTGCGCTGCCTCCTCCCCCAATGTTATGTCATGAAATAAACACAGCGCAACTGCAGCCACATGTCTGAGTCAGCTGGGTGACTACCTGGCTGAACTGTCACGTTGCCCTGAGGATGGTTTGAGTGGAAGGAGCTATTTTTATACATAAAATATTTGCTATTTTTTTATTTTTTGCATATGCAATATCAAATATGTTCATATAAAGGTGCTTCCACACGTGCATACATTTTGTCACCAACATGTGATTGACAGGACAAAATGAGGCACAGGGTTCCGACTGGTAGGGTGCGGCTCTTGTTGATCACATGTTGGCGACAAAATGTATGCCCATGTGGACTCACCTTTGTGCAAACCTTGTGCTCACTTAATCGTTCACCTCTGAACGACATTGTTTATATTGAGTGGAATAAGTGTTAAAGAACTGTCCAATACTGTATATGCATTATGTTATTTGAGTGTGAGTTTGAAACAATAAAGATTTGTGTTGTACAATTAGGTTTTGTTTTTATAGAAGATGATTAGCAATTTTTCCTGTGTTTTTAATGCTTATTCCGCATGTCTGTTCCATGGTGGGATACCAATTAGGTCAAATTTAATAGGTCAGGCTGTACTAACCTTTACTAAGTTTATACTATTTTGTTGTTATGTTACTGTGGCTTGTCTGTCTAGTAGGGTAGCTGTCACTTAGTCAAAACTTTAAGGCAAGCCTCTTAATTTATCTCATTCAGGTTATTTATAGAGAGAGAGAACATTTGTATGAATTCTCAAAAATTTTGATAAATATTGCGACTCCATTCTGTGGAAAATTGTGATAGCTGATTTGTAAGATTGGATGTTAACAGAGAGGTTTCTAAGATTTGAGCACATTTTCAGTCAGCGACGCTGAGTTCACTCGCTTGAAAGATGCCTACAAAAGAACTGCAACACTCAATGGAGCCATCACCAAGCAGGCTTTCATCAGGGAAGTTCTGGGAGAAGGAGTTCCTCTACAACTGGCAGAGGTGAGCAGATTTTCCATTGCTAAAACTTCTTAGTTCATTACCTTCATTACTTCTTCCTCTCTTTTTGTTTATCTGCATTAATTTGTACAGGCTATTAATAAATAATATAGTATTATACTATACAGGCAGTCCCCGACTTATGACGGGGTTAGGGACCCAAATCCAGGTGGTAAGTCGAATTGGTCGAAAGTCGAAAATGCAAAAAATAATACAGTACATAGAAAATCTCAAATGAAATACAGTACAGTAAAAGTAATCAATAATGAAAAATGAATCAAGTGTTACTGTACACTTACCTTTAATGTAGTTAGCTGAATGCACACGGGGCCCCAATAATTTTTTAATTAAACATGGAGACTACATTAATTGGATGAAGCAGAGGAGGAGACAGGGCTGGGTGGGTCATCAATGTTGCTTTCTTCAGACAGGCTAGCATACAGGGGATACTTGCTTGTTGAAGATATTGGATCATATTTAGGGAGTGAAGAGGCAGCACTGGTGGGGCGTGAGGAGACAGCAGTGGGGGACTTCTTAAAATATATGTCCAATTTAGACTGCACAGTTTGCCTTTTCTTTTCATTGTAAATCTCCCTGTAGCAAGCAGGTGCATCTTGGATTATTCTGTCAACTTTTGCAAAATGCTCAACATTTTGATCCATATCATCAAACATTTGCATCCCCTTATTAATACGTAGTAACAAATGCCTCTGCCATTTGTTTCACTGAAAATTTTTTGGTGGGTGCAGGTTCTTCTACATTTTCACTCTCTTCTTCCTCTGCAATTTTCTGTGCATCCAGTTCAATAAGATCCTCATTACTTAGCTCTTCTGCTACACTTTCTACCAACTGCTCAACATCTTCATTATCAATTTCTAACTCTAGCTGTTTACTGAACTCCACTATCTTGTTACTAATCTCAGAAATTGCTTCATCTTCATTAAATCCTTTGAAACTGTTCACATATCTTTTCAGGACTTTCTTCCATATTCCATTCATGCACTGACCTGTAACCTCATCCCATGCTGCAGCTATGTTCTTTATACATTTCAAAATGTTGTAGTCCTTCCAAAACTCTGAGCGTTTTCTCACCTTCAGTAGCAACAACAGCCTGAGCGAAGGTCGTACATAAATAATACGCTTTAAAAGCAGTAATAGCACCTTGATCCATGGGTTGGATGATAGAGGTAGTGTTAGGTGGAATGTAGACTATCATAACATCAGGGTGCAGGTCGTCCAGGTGTGGTGGGTGTCCTGGAGCATTATCCAAAATTAATAAAATCTTGAACGCAATCCCTTGTTGCAGACAATACTCCCTGGCTCGTGGAATGAAACAACTCGGGAACCAATCCTCAAACAGTACTAGGGTCATCCATGCTTTCTTATTACTGCGATAAAACACTGGCAGTGTGTGCTTGCTGACATGTTTAAAAGCCCTTGGGTTTTCTGAATGATATATCATGAAGGGCTTTATCTTGAATCCAGCAACATTCCCCCAACAAAAGTGTGATTCAGTCCTTGAATGCCTTGAATCCTGGCATGGTTTTTGCCTCTTTGTGGATGTATGTCCGTTCTGGCATGCGCTTCCAGAATAAGCCAGTTTCATCCACATTAAATATTTGCTCAGGCAAATAATATCCCTCCACGATGACACTATCTAGCTCCTCCTTAAAAACTTCAGCAGCACCCACATTAGCACTTGCTGCCTCTCCACTCACCTTTACACTGTGCAAACTGGAACATTTCTTAAACCTTTGGAACCACCCATGACTTGCTGTGAAGTTTTGGTCACACTCATCTCCTGCCTGCTCTTTCAGGCTTTCGAAAAGGCTTCTTGCCTTAGCCTGTAGGGTTAGAAGGTTTAAGGGTACACGCTTTTGTATCTGATCTTCCATCCACACCACAAGTAATTTTTCCATCTCATAAATAGGACCTTGTCTTTTTTTCATTATTATTGTTCCCTTTATAGGTGCTGATCCTTTCACTACCTCACGAATTCGTTCCTTGTCCTTCAAAATTGTTGATATCGTCGAGTGAGAGAAGCCTAGGTCATGTGAAATGGTTGCTACCGTTTTTCCATTTTCATATTGCATTATCAATTTCATTTTCATCTCAAAAGTAATGGATTGTCCCTTTTTCTTCTGAGCACCACCAGAACTCTCACTTTTACGCTTGTCAGTCATTCTAAAGGGAATTAGAAACGAAAATATTGTCAGTACACAGCGTGATCACTACCGACAACGACAGCCAAACACCAACTGAGCGCGCTATGGCGTGGATGCTGTACACCACGAGGCGACCCAGCCCGCGCGACGCTCTCATACGGGACGGAAACGTTTCGGTTCTAGAAAATACGTAAGTAATTTTAAACATTTTTGGTACGACTGCAGCGGTCGTATGTCGAGTCAGTCCTAAGTCGAGGAGTACCTGTGTAGTATTATACAGCTCCTCCCCGACTTACGACCTACTCGACTTACGACCACCCGCACTTACGACCTGCCACAGTTGTACCAAAATTTTGTCAAATTACGTATTTTCGAGTCCCAACTTCAGTACACAGACAAAATTTTTGTTTGTAATTCACTTTAAAATGGCTGGCAAGCTTAAAAGTGAGAGTTTTGTGGTGCTGAGAAGAAAAAGAGACACCCATTTTAGAATTTCAATGTATTATTTAAGCATTTTTGACTTACGGCCATTTCGACTTACGACCTGGATTTGGGGCCCTAACCCCGTCGTAAGTCGGGGAGGAGCTGTAATATACTATTGTACTGTATGCTATTAGTATACAGTTAAAGTTCAAGCTCCACCGTTAGTAAATCTATAAAGCTCAAGAATCCGTTCAGTTTTAAATTTAAGTACAGTACTGTACTTGTACTGCACCTGCCAAGATTCAACCTTGAATTTCCCACCCACATAGTCATTGTCTCACTGTCTGCTGATAAATGTTTTTGTCTTCCGTGGCACTATTAATTTTTTAAATTCAGATAATCTACTCACACTAATGGCTTCCAAGAAAAAACAAGTGATAGTGATGTTTCCAGTAATGCATGCGAAGAAGAAACATGTAACGGGCATAAAACCTTTTGTAAATCGGATCACATTTTCTCATAGACACATACTTTTCATAAATCAGATCTTTGTTAATTGGAGACTCCGTGTACAGTACTCTTTATTTTATGCAAAAAAAAAAGAAATTTTACATTAACTCGACAATGGTGTCTCGGTGCGCAAATTTCCTGAACATCGTGGTGTTCAAAACGCAACATTTTATTATATCAATAGGCAACATGACAAGATCTTAAAATTCTGTATGGACAGTGAAACAGAAGTGCATGGCCAAATTGAAATTTTAGCACACAGCAAGGTCACCAGAACTGGACAAAGTGCTGTAGTATGAATGGTTTAAACAACAAAACACAAGAGGTGCTTATTTTTGGCCTCTCTTATGTGAAAAGGCCAGAAAGTTTAACCTGAATTTGAAAATACAATAGTGTAATATGTAAATGTCATTGCCCATTGGGCAAATCTGTGTAAAAGCAGTACAATACAGGGGGTCCTCGGGTTACGAACGGGTTCCATTCCTGGGGATGTTCTAAGTCGGATTTGTACATAAGTCGGAACACATGCTATGTGCATACTGTACTTACAGAACAATGTTTAAAAATCCCACTATATATCATAGCCTAAGTCCTTATATACAGTATCTTCTCGATTTAATGAACTAAATCGAATTTTCATTATTTTTGCTCAATTTAGCGAATTAGCTCACTAAATCGAGCGTAATTCAGTTCTGCACCAAATGTGCCACTTGGCGCGTGGGGTTTGTTTACATCCGTTCAGTCTGTGTCCTGCCGCCACCGCGTGTGTTGTTCACTGCTACCTCTCGGCCAACTAACTACTGTGTTTAGACATCATGCAGAAAGTCTCTCAGAAGTCTCATAAAGGTAGTGGTGTGGGGAGAAAGTGAAATGAGTGAGGTTATCAATTGGAAAAAAGTTTGGAAATAATGTGAAAAAAATTTAAACAAACAACAGTCCCCTAGTTTAAGGTAAGCCATGAATAATGTTTCTAATGGTTCGATGTATGGTATGTACATAGTTGTGAGCATTTTACCGGAATAGATCTCGATTTAGTGAACTGGTTACTAAATCCAGCGAAAAATATGGGAAAAAATTCCTTCGCAAAATCGAGAGTTCGTTATGTCTGATTCTTTTAAATTGAGAGTACACTGTACATCTAAAATCACGTAATTTAAGACAAAAGAAGGAATAGAATGACAAAATACAGTAAATGAAAGTAAAAAGTAAGTCATCAGGTAAATAAAATACAGGGCAGTGTAAATTTCAAGTTTAACCCCGTTTGTATTGTCCGCCATTCGTAAGTTGGGGACCCCCTGTAGTGATTAAATTCCATAATGTACAATGCTGTATTCTTTATGTCTAGCTCAAAAAATTCTTAAACATAATTCCAGTGTTCCATCCCAGGTTGGCCACTCTCCTGTATGTATATAAAGTTTTAAAATTTATCAGCTTCTTATAACCCCTCTGGTCCTGAGCATTTCAGATTCCTGATGAGCAAGTGTATAGTATTTGCAAACTTTGGGTGTTAGAAAATAAATAGTTCACCGGTGAATTTAGTGTTACATTTGTGAGGGATGACTGTATCATACTTTTTTCTTATTTAATGCTTCATTTACACATAATGTTATTCTTTTGTTTCAGCTCATATTTTTGGCGTGTGGGGGAACAGCGAAGGGTATTACGTTTAAAGACCTCTTGTGCAGCCTGGTATTGTTGACACGTGGCAATAGAGAAGAAAAGATAAGATGTGAGTTATCTTTATATGGTATTTTTCTTACTTGTTTAATACTAGTGTGTGCGTATATATATATGTGTGGGTGTATATATATATATATATATATATATATATATATATATATATATATATATATATATATATATATATATATATATATATATATATATATATATATATATATATATATATATATATATACTTACGACTTAGGGACTTAACGGGTCGGGAAAATCCAGGTCGTAAGTCCGATATAGAAAAAAAAAAAAAATAAATAAATCTACAATGAAATACAGTACAGTAAAAGTAATGAATAATGATGAATGGATACAGTACAGTGAAAGTAATAAATAATAAGGAATGGATACAGTGTGACTGAGCACTTAACCTTTAATGTAGTCAGCTGAATGCACATGGGGCCCCCATAATTTTCTAATTATACATGGAGACTACATTAACTGGAAACGTTTCGGTATAGAAAATGCGTGTGTCATTTAAAAAAAAAATTTTTTTTTTTTATCTATATCTGAGGCGGTCGTAAGTCCCGACGGTCGTAAGTCCACGTAGTCGTAAGTCGGGGTCTAGGTGTATATATGTATACTATCTTACCTCTTATAATGGACAAGATATGTTCTTGAGGCCTGTCTGCTAATTGATAATCTGGTAAAAGAAGTCATAATAATATGGAGTTTTTTTTTATGGGGATTAGCCCACTAGGGCACAGTTCTTAAACATAAGAGAAAAGTTGTACGTATTCATTTAGAAATATACAGTAAACCCTTGACAACATAGAATTCGATGTAACTCAGAATGACAGTAAAATGTTCATCTGTAAATTATTATTTATTATTTTGTAAAGAAAATATATATTTTTTACATTATTCATAATATTCCGAGATGACGACACAATCTTAAAATAGCATAACTCAAGCGGGATGCGTGGGAAGTTCTGCCTGGTTAGCCAACCAGTTACACGTTGGTAGGCCAAGTGAGAGGATACCCACCCATCGTCACTCGACTCACATATTTGTTCAAAGTCCTATTCCACCCTGAATATTTAACCAGCATATACATGTACAATAGTTTTTTTTTTTTGCCCACCAGGGCGCAGATCAGTGACCCACATCAGGGCCTGGGGGCGAAAACATAATAATAATATTACAGTATAATAATAATAATAATGTAACCGCCAATCAGGCGGTTAAAGGAATATTCCAACTCGTGACATTGAACTCGAACATTATAATTCGATCAAACCTGTTGGATACAATTCATTTTAGTATTTCACATAAATCATACATAGGCAATCACATAAATGTCTAATTCAATATATATTTACATAACAATCATAGCTATGTAATCAGTTTAATCTTAACACTTACAATGAGTACTTAATTTTCCATATTTTTATGTCGTCACAATGATAAACGATGCAATGGACACAGTCTACCTGTGTACACGATAAGTACCAGTTAAACTTACCTGTTGAAAGTCTCAAAGGAAACCAGGTTAGGTGCTGCCTCTGTGATCTGAATAACTACAGAGGAACCAGGTTAGGTGTTGCCTCTGTGGTGTGAATAACTACAGAGGAACCAGGTTAGGTGTTGCCTCTGTGGCCTGAATAGCTACAGTGCCAATACCCTGCTGTCGCCTCCCTAACCCTCTCGATGGGCAAAGGCGGAGTCAGGTGATTATAATTATACATAAACAAAACTCCCCTTACACACTCCAATCTCCTCTGGGCCTCTCATCTCCACCATGCCAATACTCTACATACTTTATACGGGCAGGCACACTCAATAAACATGACATGACTTACAGCCTAACATAATGTTTGTTTATGTGTCATCCTACTCATTACTGCTTGTGGTAAAAATAATAATAATAATAATAATAAAGAACCATAAATAAAAAAAAATAAAAAAAGATCTATAGTGAGACATGATATATGTATGTTGTGTTATCAAAGTAAGAGAAGCAATTGAAACCCAGCAGTTGTGTGTAAATGAGGCAGAAATTCAGATCTGCAACGTGGGACTTGGTCACAACTTTTGTGATGCCATATGGCAGTAGGGTCTACCATTAGACATTATATTATGCTTCCAATTTCTTCCCAGGCAGTAGTACCTACCTGTTTGATAGCTGCCTATTACCTACATTTAATGTTTGTGAATTGGGAGAAGAAACTGTATCAGTGGAGGTAAAGATACAGATGCATGGGGGGATCTTTAGGGCAAGATTATTACTTGGGTGTAAAACACAGATCAAGAGTGTGCACAGGTGGTTTGAAAATGTTTGGTAAAAATGAGTGCATAATTCAAAGGTGAACGTTAAGAGAGAGAGAGAAGGGAAGACCTAGAAGGAGGGGAGGAGAATGAGGTCTGTTTGTGTGTGTGTTTTTGTATGTGCATGGGTTCATTGTGTTTGCTCTCTCTTTTAAATCTTACCATCGAGCATTGAACTAGTAAAAGGCTTGAATTAGTGGAAAAAAATGTCAAGGACGCATATTAGTTATAATGTCTGTTTCTGTACCTACATGTAGTTTTCCATTCCAAATTTGCTTAAGCATTACACAAAAAATGCATCCAGTGTAGACTTAGGAATTTTATAGGCATCTCTGTATACATCTTTAGATTATCTGATTAAAATTTCAAATTTATTGATTGAGTTTTGCTTCATATATGTTTTACAAACAACTTAATCATCTTTTCTTCCAGTCATTTTTGGGGTGTATGCCAGTGAAACCGGGACTCATGTCATACGGAGTGAGATGCTCCGGCAGCTGCAGGCCACGGAGGGTGGATATATACCGGAGATCCTACACAAGTGTTTTGGCCAAGTAAGAGAGAAATATTGAGATTTTTTTAGACTGGATTTATTAATAATCATTTACTTTATGAGTTAGTGGAAGAACATATCAAGAATAGAGTTTACCCACTTATGTACAGTCGCAGTCAAAGGTAATCATCCACTCCACCACCAACCTCTGCGCCTGGCCTGGTCATTTCTGCGTGGCAAGTCATGTGGGGTGGAGAGGGGGAATGGACGACTTGTGGGAGGATGGTATGCGATGCAAATTGATCAGAGAGGAGGGGAATTGAAAAAAGCAGGGAAATTCATGAAAGAAAGAAGGGAAGGATTGATATAAGTTTTTTCTTCACTATACACTCAGTCCTCGACTTACGACGGGGTTAGGGACCAACGACCAGGTCATAAGTCGAAAATGCAAAAATAATACAGTACATAGAAAATCTAAAATGGGTGTCTCTTTTTCTTCTCAGCACCACGAGAACTCTCACTTTTACGCTTGCCAGCCATTTTAAAGGGAATTACAAACGAAAATGTTGTCAGTACACAGCGCGATCACTAATGCCGGGACTCAAAATACGTAATTTGAAAAATATTTTATACGACTTCAACGGTCGTATGTCCGGGTGGTCGTAAGTTCATTAGGTCGTAAGTCGAGGAGTACCTGTACAGTATTATCTTAAAATTTACATACTTCAAAGAGTAATCGTTGAGGACCCTTATTTTATGATTATCGGTAAACATCTATTTATGATGGGGTTAGGTTCCTGAAAACCCCATCACAGGTCGAAAAATCATAAATGGGGATCATTCTAATATGGGGTTCAATGGGATAGGTTCCTGGCCAGTCGGACGCCCACATGTATCACTGAAAAAAAAAAATCCAACAATACTATTACAGGTTTTACCTCTCTAGTCCGACAACCTCGGGACTTGACCGATGCCGGACCATGAAAATTTTTGGACCATGGAAATTCACCCTTTTCCTGGATAGATAGTGACTTGTGCTTACACTTGGAAGCACTAGCACCACTTTCACTGCTTCGTGGTCTCTTTGAAGATACAGCTAGACCCCGACTTACGACGGGGTTAGGGACCCAAATCCAGGTCGTAAGTCCGACATAGATAAAAAAAAAAAAATTTTTTTTTTTTTTTTTTTTAATAAAAAATCTACAATGAAATACAGTACAGTAAAAGTAATGAATAATGAGGAATGGATACAGTACAGTGAAAGTAATAAATAATAAGGAATGGATACAGTGTGATTGAGCACTTAACCTTTAATGTAGTCAGCTGAATGCACATGGGGCCCCCATAATTTTCTAATTATACATGGAGACTACATTAACTGGAAACGTTTCGGTGTAGAAAATGCGTGTGTCATTTGGAAAAAAACAAAAACAAAAAATTTTAATGAAAAATCTGTGGCGGTCGTAAGTCCACGTAGTCTTAAGTCGGGGTCTAGCTGTATATTGAAGGGTTAAATGTTGTACAATAGGTTCTCAAATTTTGGGAGTTTTTAATTCAACGTTTTTTTTTTTAAAAAAAAAACACTACGCAATTTAAAATTTTGACAGCGGAAACTCGAATTTCGACGGGTTTGAGCGGCCCGCCATCGTTCAGACGTGCACAAATCGTGTAAATAGTGTCATTTCTCTTATGTACATAAGATTCATTATTGTTTATTACTGAATGTCTTTTTTATTTAATTATTTTTTGTGTGCAAAAGGAACAATACGGGCAGGCACACCCAATAAACATGACATGACTTACAGCTTTCTGTAATTATAATATGGAATTGTTTTACAGAGTGAGCGTATTACTTATGAAGAATTTAAAGAATGGCTGCTGGTACACCCTGATGCTACGACAGTGACTCGTTGGCTGTTGGCTGAGCCATGTCATGTGTCACTCTCAAATGACCTGGAAACTCCTACCTTCTACCAGACTCTTGCTGGTGTTACACATTGTAAGTTAGACAATGTTTTTGTTTCAGATTTTCCATAGAAAGAACTTAAATTTTCCCATTTAATACCATCTCTTAAAATGTTGATATTAATACTTATACAGTACAGTACATTCATTGAAGAATGTCTGCAGGCATTAGTTTCTTGATTATTTATTTATTTTATTTTTTTGTAAATAAAGACAACAAATATGTAAAGAATGATTGCAACATGTACAGTACAGTCGATCAAACGCTGTCCATACAAAATTGTGTTAAACAATATGACACAACAAACAAAGGATTTTGGCAACCCTACTGAGACAACAAAAGTCGTAATTCGTAATGTTCATTCTGAAATTCATCCCCCCCCCAAGTACAGATAGTACATATTTTTTTTAACATGTTTTGTTTAATTTCCTCCTCGCATACTATTTTTGGAGCTATATTGCCCAAAGTTTGAACATATACAGTACTGTACTGTACATTATTTGTTTATGTTGTTCATTTTTTATATACCTGTACTAAATTTGTAATTGATTAGATTTTACTCTATTGGTATTTTAGATATACTGTGTAGTTTGAATCTTGCTTCAGATGTTTGTATAATGGATGAAACTTATATAAGATCACTTTTGATATAATTAGATATAGCTTAGTGTGTGTCAAGGTTGGTTAACCTTTACAGTCATTTTGATATTTTTATGACTGTAAACACTCGCTTCACTGTGATGGTAGTGTCAAAATCTTTGACCTCCATTATTTTTATTATTCTAATGATATTGCCCATCAATTGTGTTGATTTAGAAATGGTTTTATTCCAGTGGAAGAGACAGACATCTTGGAATTAGAGAAGCGATACTGGTATTTGAAGGGTTCTTCACCAACAGGCAAGCTTGACCCAGACACACTTGTTCCCATGATTTCTCCACCACTTCCTCCAATGTTAGCAAAAGGAGTGTTTAATGCATTTGATGAAAATAGAGACAATCATATCGACTTCAAGGTACTATTTATAATAGCACATTCATTATTTTACTTACCAGGTGTAATCCTTTTCTTACCCAAAATAGTTTAGTTTGACAGAATACATTTCTGCTTATCTTAGTGCCAAGTACCTAACCTTTCACAACAATGGTAGATAATACCTTGCTGATTTAGCCCATACTTGTTCAGGCTCAGCAGTGTAAAATGTTACCCTTTGGTTGGTTGATTTTTTTTTAGAAGGTGCAATTTGGTATGTAAAATCTGAGAATAACATTAATTTTGGTTCTGCTCACAATTTTAAAGCTCACAGGGCAGGAAGTGTGGAGTATTGGGCTAGTGGCTGCATTGTGTAACGCCGTAATTGCGGCCTATAAGTTGACATTTTAAGCTTGAAAAAATCTCTCCCAAACCAGGGGTTGACTTATACTCAGACTATAAAATGTGAAGCTCTACCACATAGTGGTAAACAAGTGAAACAGCCTGCCTAACACTCACTGTGCATCATTTAGCGTAACTCCCGTGGCCTGCCGCTAATATTTCCTACTGAAATTCATGTTTGGTAAACTTATTTAACATAGAGATTAAAATAAAATCGTAAATTCCAGTATAATTAGACGAACACAACACCACATGCCATTTTCAACAGCTGATGGACAGTAAACAATCGATCAGAACACCACTAAACCCAGGCGGCCAGGCATACAACTACCCGGTACTACAATATGGGTGCCATCTGCGCAATTTTATGATAGCGCTAAAGATTGTGAGTTCACATACACTACAGGGGCAATGAAAGTTTAATGATACATAATGGCAGTTTATTGAATATACTGTACACACAATGACACCATAATTAAAACCTTAACTCTAAGATAAAAAGTTAAAACTTTAACTTCAAGATTAATTTTACTTCAAAGTTATATTTTATTGACAATAAAAACATGTATGATCACATTTTAAAATCCTTCACAAAGTCCGCTGGCTGTTCATCGTCTAACATAGAGGTCTGCATATGGGTCCGAATCACTGGAACTTCCGACGTCGTCTTCATTACATTTGCTGTCATCCTCCTCCTCGTCACTGTCTTGCCACAACAAATCATCTTCTTCCCCATCCATTGCATTTGAAATCCCACATTTTTTGAACGATTATACGACAGTTTCTACATGAAGGCTTGTTCAGTGTTTGGAGGATACACTAAACAAGCCTACATGGCAATTTACTAAACCATTGTGGCTTTATGCTCTTGCTGGCATCCACTCATTACCCACACACCAACCTGACAACAGTTGAAAATATCTTATCCCCACGGCTCCCCAGCACAAAGGATGAAATATGACGCAAGTTTCAAGCTGAAAGTTGTTGAGTTTGCAAACTCTTCAAACAACAGTGCTGCAGCGGATGACAGTTTAAGTCTAAGCCATGCTGCTGTGCTGCCGACAGTGTAACGGACCCAGTTTGTTTACAACAGCTTATGCAAATGGTGGATCGTAAGCCAGGTGTACCATAATGTTTTACTATCATACTGTTTGTAGATTGTACTATCAAGGTGCTATACTGGTATGCTGTGTAAACTATTACTATTTTATTGGAGATGCTGATTTTGGCTTAGTGTTTATCAGAGTTCTTACGAAGATAACTTACTGAAGATTTTTAGCGGTTGCTCGCTGTCCTATGTAGATCCTGTTGCCCACTTCCCTTTTTGTATGAACTATGTAATATATATATATCAAATATTGAGAGGTATTATGGTAAGTGTCTTGATGAAAGTGGTGTGGCCTTATTACACACTTTCGCCTATGTTTGGTCCATGGGGGGTCGACTTATATGGAGAGTATAGAACTAAACTGGAATTTTTAACTAAAAATCTTGAGGTCGATTTATACGCCGCAATTTACGTTACCTCTCTGCCACATCATGTTTTCTACTCCTGGACTTTGAGTATATCTTCACTGTTACCCTTACATAATTTGATCACTTTTATCACTTTTTTTTCCAGTATTAGCCCACCCACATACACACCCATGCTTCTCATTTTTCTTGTTTTCATAGTTTTATATTATATTTTCTATATTTCTAAGCCACAGTAAAGTATTATAATAATTTTCTTTTATTTTATTTTTTCTGAAACGAGCACAGACAAGTGATAAACATACTGAGCTAGCCATAGATGCTGTGTGAGTTGGCTCATGTGAGAGCGAGATCTGAGTGTAAGGGCGGTTGAGAGGGGTCATACATGTATAAGCAGGTATCACGTATTATGGATACGCTTACTCTGAGAACCTCCTGAATATATATATACTTTCATCTGGTCTGAAATGTACTGTATATACACATTTAAATTTTTGAAAGATTTTTTCACTGACCAATAAAGGTTACAAGGTGCAGGGACCCTGAACTAGGAAGGTGCTTATGTACCATTAAATTTTGGAAAATCCAGTGGCAATCTCACAGAATATTTGCCTAAGAATAGTGATATAGATTTATCCATCATGAAACTGAGTGAATCTTTATTTGCATTCATTGTTCTTCAGTAAGATTACCTGGGTATTTGTGTAAGTGTTGAGAATTGGTAATTTCAGGCAAGATTAATTTTTTGATTATAGAAACAGGTAACGGCGCAAAAAATAATACAGTAGTGACATGTAGGAATGAAGTCATGAGGTTTTGAGAACTAACAGTATAAAGTTTAGGAAAAAATTTCAGATGGGAAAATGCCATTTCCTCTTATATGTATGGTTTTAATTTTTTGTTTATAGTTTATCAATACTTTTAGCAAAGTGGTATTGTTACATTTTGTTTTTTTAGGAAATGGCATGTGGAATTTCTGCTGCCTGTCGGGGACCTCAGACAGAACGCCAAAAATTCTGTTTCAAAATATTTGATCGGGATAGAGATGGGCGTCTCTCCAAAGATGAACTGACGGCCATGGTGCAAGCCCTTTTGCTTCTGCGAGATGAAGAACAGGAGGAAGGTAGTGGTAGGCTTGTGAAGTACAGTATATGGTTTTACCTGTTTCAAATTATATATATATATATATATATATATATATATATATATATATATATATATATATATATATATATATATATATATATATATATATATATATATATATATATATATATATATACACACACAGTTGTACCCCACTTAACGCGGTCAATTGAACCCAGAGGGTCCCGCTTAAGAAAGCGTTAAGTGAACAACAGAACATATGGGATTAATTCCAATAGAAACCGGCCCGACCCCCAAACTCCACTTTTTGAAGGCACATACCTATGTTGTAGTAAAAATAACATCTTAATTTTATGATGGTACATGCACACAATTAATACTTAAGAGAAATAGAGAAATACAGTCGCCAAGTTAATGTCCATTCAAATAATGGACTCAACTCCCTCCCCCTCTCACACTACACAGCCGGCTAACAGATGGTCGGTCGGTCCCTCCCTCCCCCCCCACCCCCCACCAACCGTCCCAAGGAGATGTGTGGGATAACCTCAAACTAAAGTTAGGAAAATATAATTGACATTGCTGGATTCCTTGTAAGACCAGGAATATTTTGAATATAAATGTCATATATTTTGGACAAAAGATAACATAGTTACCTAGAGAAAAAATTTTATCTAAAAATTGTAAGTTTAAAGCAAAATATATGATGTTTATATTCAAAATGATCACCAAATTATAAGAATTCCAGCAATGTAAATTATATTCTGACCGGGTAATTTGTATGAATTTTATGAGCTAAAACAAATATCTTCAGTTAATAAAAAAAAAATAATCTTCACGACACTATCTGTCAATCAAAGTACCCCACCTTGCCTCCCCCCCTCTTCCAACCGCGCGGTCAGTCCCAACCCTCCCCCACCCCCCACCAATCCTCCCTTCCAGAGTTTTTAACATTTAGTATTAAATAATACCTCAGATTAAAGTTAGGATAATATAATTGACATTGCTGGATTCCTTGTAAGACCAGGAATATTTTGAATATAAATGTCATATATTTTGCACAAAAGATACCATAGTTACCTAGAGAAAAATTTTTATCTAAAAATTGTAAGTTTAAAGCAAAATATATGATGTTTATATTCAAAATGATCACCAAATTATAAGAATTCCAGCAATGTAAATTATATTCTGACCGGGTAATTTGTATGAATTTTATGAGCTAAAACAAATATCTTCAGTTAATAAAAAAAAATAATAATTCTTCACAGGGTAACAGATGGTCGGTCGGTCCCTCCCTCCCCCCCACCCCCCACCAACCGTCCCAAGGAGATGTGTGGGATAACCACTAAATTTTAATAAATAATACCTCAAACTAAAGTTAGGATAATATAATTGACATTGCTGGATTCCTTGTAAGACCAGGAATATTTTGAATATAAATGTCATATATTTTGCACAAAAGATACCATAGTTACCTAGAGAAAAATTTTTATCTAAAAATTGTAAGTTTAAAGCAAAATATATGATGTTTATATTCAAAATGATCACCAAATTATAAGAATTCCAGCAATGTAAATTATATTCTGGCCTGGTAATTTGTATGAATTTTATGAGCTAAAACAGGCAGTCAGGCAGGGTGGCGGGTGGGGCAAATCTAAAAATAGCGTCTCGGACACTCACCGCGTATATGTGGAAAAAATCCGCGTTAAGTGAAAGTTCAGCTTTGGCAAGGCACCGCGTATATGCGAAAACGCGTTAAGTGAAACCGCGTTAGGCGGGGTAAAACTGTATATATATATATATATATCAGTGGCGTGTCATGAGAAAAATGCTAGGGTAAGCAAATGACGCTTTCTTACTTGTAAAGTCACGAGATCTAAAAGAATTCTTTAGTAGATCACATACAGACTGTATGTGATCTACTAAAGAATTCTTTTAGATCTCGTGACTTTACAAGTAAGAAAGCGTCATTTGCTTACCCTAGCATTTTCTCACGACACGCCACTGACATACATACATACATACATACATACATACATACATACATACATACATACATACATACACACACACACACACACACACATATACATACATACATACATACATACATACATACATACATATATATACATATATATATATACATATATATATATATATATATATATATATATATATATATATATATATATATATATATATATATATATATATATATATATATATATATATATATATATATATATATATATATATATATATACTGTATGATCATTTATATGTTAAATAACTTGTTCATTTTTTATTTTCATATTTTATCATTACTTTCACTGGATAGCTTATCAGATGCAATAAAATGATAAAGATGAATGACTTTTGTATACAAAGCATTGTTTTATGAGGAACTGTGCTGTGTGAGTGTACTGCAGTACAGTACCTGTGAATTTTCAACATTCATGAGTAATGTAATCATCTCTTAAGGGTGTTCTTTGTATAGCTTTTACATCATTGTTTCTTACTCATTCATTCATTCCTATCAATATGTGAGTGAATACATGCATGCATGCATGTGTACGTGCATGTACTTTACATATAAAACAATCATAACAGCCTTCATGTTTTTTTTAACAGACGATGTGTGTTTGGGTGTTTCCCCAGACTGCGTCCAGAGACTAGTAAGAGAGTTGTTAGAAAACCACGATCCAAACAACTCAGGCTTTGTCACCCAAGAAGAATATCTTATGTGGACGCTACACAATCCACTTTCCACAGCATTACTTGATATTATATTCCAGGTTAGTTCTCTCTTACCTTCAGAGGTGCTGATGTAGCTTATGCTTTGTTAATATTTATTTTTTAAATGTTTAAAAACTTATTTAATGAAACATACTGTACAGTATTAGAAATATTTAATATTTCTCTAAGAAATGAAACTTAGACATATTTAATATTCTTACAATAATGCAATGTGTACAGTATATGCTAAAATGAAGAATAGAATAAAATAATTAAATAAATAATAATAATAATGACACCAATTTTTCTCACTGTAACACTAATTCCATTATTTCAAAACTCATTTTAACAAATTATAATGCCATGGGTCTGAACAACTGCTTCCTAGAATGCAATTGTTCTCATACAAAGTTTTTTTTTTCTTTTTTTTCGTTTTTTTCGTTTTTACTGGTGTAATGCTGGTTGGTGATTTTTGCTAGCAGAAGCTGTGCACCTCTGCCTATGTAATTCTCTGCCACGGGACTTTTTTTTTTTTTTTTTTTTTTTTTTACGGGGATTAGCCCACCCGTGCACAGCTCACTCACCCACATCAGGGCCTGGGGGGTTAAAATGTAATAGTAATAATAATAAAGACCCATAAAGAAATACAAAAATGAAAAAAGATCAAAAGTGAGAAACAAAATATGTATGTTATGTTGTAAGTAGTAAGAGAAACAATTGAGACCCTGCAATTGTGTGTAAATGAGGCAGAAAGTCAGATCAGCAACCTGGGACTTGATTACAATTTTCGGGATGCCATATGGCAGCAGGGTCTACCATTAGACAACACATTATGCTTCCAATATCTTCCCAGATGGTAGCACCTCCCTGTTTGGTAGCTGTCTACTACCTACAATTTGAGTCTGCCATAGAATTATAAACAATTCCACATTCCTCTGGTCTGTATATGTTTGCAGTTCTGATAACTTATTTATTATGTACTGTACAGTATTGTATATACAATATCTTTCTGCCTCATTTACACACAATTGCAGGGTCACAACTGTCTCTTACTATTGACAACACCACAAATATATCCGTACTCATTCTTGATCTTTTTTATTCATTCTATTTTATTCTCCTAAGTCAGTTGATATTAATATTGAAGCGGGGTCTTCTCGGATGGGTCCCACTGGTCGGGAAGGTTGTGGACCCCAGGGCCAACCTGATCATCATCAAGTTACTGGGGCCTCAACTTATGCCACCACGGCTGCTGGAGGATCGGCTTTTTTCACTCTTCATTTTTCCACCATTCGCAGCTTGAGATCCAATTTTCCTTCTGTGGAGCACCATCTATTAACCTCTTCCTACTTTCTGAACTTCAACTGTCAAAATCAGCTTCACCTAAACCTTTTCAAGTCTCCAACTACAACCTTTATACCTGCTTCCGTTCTAAGGGAGGTGTATGCGCCTACTGCAACACACGTACACCTATAGCTCGACTCACGGATCTTGAATCTTCCCTTTATGATGTCATCTGGCTCAAAATATCTCTACCAATTGTGACTAATTTTCTTTGTCTCCTATACTGTTCTCCCAATTCTACCAACTATTTGACTATCTCACTTCTTGCCATGAGCCGTTGTTATCCACACACCCCAACACCGAGATCCTCTACCTAGGGGACTTCAATGTACATTACAGAGTGGCTTGTCTCTGCAAGGGATGACCCAGGTGGAGCTGAGGCACCCTCTTTTTCCCTACTTAATGATTTGGAACAAATAATCAAACACCCTACATGCGTTCCTGATGGACACGATCAACTTGCTAACATTCTTGATCTTTGTTTTACCTCTAACCCCTCACACTATTCATACTCAATTTCTGCCCCCTTAGGGTCTTCTGATCACAACCTTATTTCTATTAAATCAAGCTGGACACGACCACCTCCCCCACCCCCTCTAAACATCTACTATGGCACTATTGGAGGGCAAGCTGGCAATCCTTGGGATGAATGTTACTTTTCCACTCGAGATGCCTCGGTGTGTGCTGACAGCATTGCTGGGGTTATACAGGGTGGTATTAGTACATTTATCCCATCTTCTACCAAAACTTTCACATTACAATCATGGTTTGATCACTCCTGCTCTCTTGCTTGCAGGATGAGAGATAGAGCATATCGAGCTATGAAACTATCTCCTCCTTTTACCCACACCTCTTTCATAACTTCTAGGAATTGTTGTAAGACTATTCTTCATAGGGCCAAGCGAAATTTTATAAAAAGAAAGACCGCTGTCCTGACTAGTTCTTCCTCTAGTAAATCCTTCTGGTCCTTAACCAAAAACATCTTTAACAACTTCTGCACTCCTTCTTTTCCTCCTCTCTTCCGACCTGATAACTCTATCGCCAACTCTCCCCTTGACAAACCCAATCTCTGGCACCTTATTCTCCACCTTAGGCGATTCCCAATCTATCCTTCCTACCCCTGAAACTGTGCACTTTCCTATAATCTCTACTCGCAGGGTTGCTTGTGTGTTATCCTGGTTGGATGTGAGTAAGGCGCATGGACCGGACGGAATACCCCCTCGTGTTCTTAGGGAGTGTGATGAAGCTCTGGCCCCTGTGCTTGCTCGCCTCTTCCTCAAAACCCAAACTTTTCCTTCTTCTTGGAAGCATGCCTTGGTTCAGCCCATCCCGAAGAAGGGTGACCATTCTAATTCCTCTAACTATCGCCCCATTCCTAACTTCATCCCTCTCCAAGATTTTCGAAACTATCTTGAACTCCCATTTTCTCCGTCACCTTGAACGCCTTTCTCTTTTGTCGGATCACCAGTATGGCTTTCGGCAGGCGAGATCTACTGGTGATCTACTCTCCTATTGCACCCATCTTTGGTCATCCTCTCTTCGGGATTATGGGAAAACTTTTGTCGTGGCCTTCGACATCTCCAAAGCATTTGACAGGGTATGGCACAAGTCTTTGCTATCTAAACTTCCCTCTTTTGGTTTCTCCCCCACTTTGTTTTCTAATCTCTAGCTTCCTTGAGAACCGATACATGGCAGTTGTTGTCGAGGCATCAATCTCTCATTCTTTTTCTACCAATAGTGGTGTCCCACAGGGTTCTGTTCTTTCACCTACTCTCTTCCTTCTTTTTATCAATGATTTACTTCACACTACAACTAATTCTATCCATTCTTACGCTGATGATTTTACTCTTCACTCTTCTTCACATTTTCCCCTTCCTCCTAAATCTCAAACTAGATCTGTTTCTAGAGCTGTCATTACTTCTATCAACGCGGATCTGTGCAGCATCTCTGAATGGGGAGGTACAAACTTGGTTAAATTTAATAGTTATGAAACTCAATATTTACCAATTACACTTTCTAAATTAGACTATCTCCCACCAATTACATTTCAGGATGCTATCATTCTGCCAAATTCTGAAATAAATATGTTGGGCCTCACCATTTCCTCCAATATGTCCTGGAAATCACACATCCTTAATATAGCTAAAGCTGCCTCTCGAAAGTTGGGAGTGCTGTACAGATGCCGTAGCTACTTCACTCCTGAGCAGTTGCTCCAGGTATGTAAGGGATTCATTCGTCCTAACTTCGAGTACTGCTCTCATGTCTGGTGTGGCTCTTCATCTGTCCAACTGCTAGATAGGGTGGAATCAAAGGCATTTCGTCTTATTAACTCTCCTCTTTTAGTCGACAATCTCTCTTCCCTTTCTCTTCGCCGCAATGTTGCTTCACTCTCTCTCTTTTACAGGTACTTTAACGGGCAATGTTCGTTGGATTTGGCATCCTGTGTACCACCGGCAAGGCCGTGGGCTCGTAACACGTCTTGCCTGCGGTGCTCACCATTTCTCTGTGGATGTCGGCCACACAAGAATAACCCGTTATAGTACCTCCTTCTTTCCTCACACAGCCAAACTGTGGAATGCTCTGTCTTCTTCTGTGTTTCCATACTTATACAATCTGTCTCACTTTAAAAAGCTGGTTTTCTGGCATCTTCGTGTTGTAGATTAACACAGTACAGTGGTCCCTCGGTTAACGAGCACAATCCGTTCCAGCAGGTTGCTCGTTAACCAAAACCATTGTTTCAATGGGTTTTTGGGTAATTGGTTCCAGCTCACCGAAAATTGCCTAAATTCAACAAAAAAGGTAGAAAAGTACACTTACTTTGAGGTGTGTATGTAGAAGGCTCCTGGATGATGATGGGAATTAGAATGGGGGTGGAGGAGAAGAGAAGGCATTGGGGTGGAAGAGAGTCACCCCATGGCGCCATTTCACCCATAAAATTTTAGTTCTCTTGGTGTAATTCAAGATTATTTTCTTTAAGTCAATACTGCACTGCATTATATATTGTCAACATGTAAAATAAATTTCAAAATGACCAATAATTTGCTTGCAAACACAGAAAAAAGTGTTTAGTTGAAGAGAGTCTCAAGCAAGATGTTACCTCCACTGAAAAGACACAAAGACTGATGCCTGTACGGTGTGTTGAGAGGCTGGATGGCGCGCATAAAACTAGTTTCGTTACCTTCAATTATGTTCAATAATTGTTAAAATGACTAAAAAATTTAATATTAAACTTAAAATTATTGAATAGTATAAACTTCTTGATATTTGCTAAAATGGTAATGAATTTAAGCCCTAGAACCGATTACTGTATTGGCGGACTAATACTACAGCTGGCGGACCGCCAAATGCAAGCGAAAACATGTTGAGGTCGGCTCGTTAAAAACTCGTTAATCGAGGGATTTTTCGTTAACCGAAGTTAAGAATCTTATGGAAGGTAACTCGTTAACCGAAATCTCGTTAACCGAGGCGCTCGTTAACCAAGGGACCACTGTATAACCTTTTTCTTCTTTATTCAATTTATTTCTGTTCTTAGTTTTTCGCCCCCCAGGCCCGGTTGTGGGTCATTTGATCTGTGCCCGGGTGGACTAATTCCCGTAAAAAAAAAAAAAAATATATATATATATATATATATACGTATATATATACAGTATTACCCCGCCTAACGCGGTTTCACTTAACACGTTTTATCATATACGCGGTGCCTGCCAGAGCTGAACTTTCAGTTAACACGGATTTTTTCCACATATACGCGGTGAGTGTCCGGCTCGAGACGCTATTTTTAGATTTGCCCCACCCGCCACCCTGCCTGACTGCCTGTTTTAGCTCATAAAATTCATACAAATTACCCGGGCAGAATATAATTTACATTGCTGGAATTCTTATAATTTGGTGATCATTTTGAATATAAACATCATATATTTTGCATTAGACATACAAATTTTAGATAACATTTTTTCTCTGGGTAACTATGTTATCTTTTGTGCAAAATATATGACATTTATATTCAAAATATTCCTGGTCTTACAAGGAATCCAGCAATGTCAATTATATTATCCTAACTTTAGTTTGAGGTATTATTTATTACAAAAAAGTTAAGTATTCTGGTTTTCCCACACATCTCCTTGGGACGGTTGGTGGGGGGGAGGGAGGGAGGGACCGACCGACCATCTGTTACCCTGTGAAGAATATTTTTTTTTTTTATTAACTGAAGATATTTGTTTTAGCTCATAAAATTCATACAAATTACCCGGTCAGAATATAATTTACATTGCTGGAATTCTTATAATTTGATGATCATTTTGAATATAAACATCATATATTTTGCATTAGACATAAAATTTTTAGATAAAATGTTTAATCTGAGTAAGAATGTTATCTTTTGTGCAAAATATATGACGTTTATATTCAAAATATTCCTGGTCTTACAAGGAATCCAGCAATGTCAATTATATTATCCTAACTTTAATCTGAGGTATTATTTAATACAAAATGTTAAAATCTAAATTTTTCACCCACTCTTCTCTTGAAGGGATGATTGGTGGGGGGTGGGGGGGAGGGTTGGGACTGACCACGCGGTTGGAAGAGGGGGGAGGGCAAGGTGGGGTACTTTGATTGACAGATAGTGTCCTGAAGATTATTTTTTTTTTTATTAACTGAAGATATTTGTTTTAGCTCATAAAATTCATACAAATTACCCGGCCAGAATATAATTTACATTGCTAGAATTCTTATAATTTGGTGATCATTTTGAATATAAACATCATATATTTTGCATTAGACATACAAATTTTAGATAAAAAAATTTTCTGAGTAATTATGTTATCTTTTGTGCAAAATATATGACATTTATATTCAAAATATTCCTGGTCTTGCAAGGAATCCAGCAATGTCAATTGTATTATCCTAACTTTAGTTTGAGGTATTATTTATTAAAATTTAGTGGTTTTCCCCCAAAAATTTCTCAGAGAGGGAAGAGCCAGCAGTAGTAGTGTGAGAGGGGGAGGGAGTTGAGTCCATTATTTGAATGGACATTAACTTGGCGACTGTATTTCTCTATTTCTCTTAAGTATTAATTGTGTGCATGTACCATCATAAAATTAAGATGTTATTTTTACTACAACATAGTTATGTGTCTTCAAAAAGTGGAGTTTGGGGGTCGGGCCGGTTTCTATTGGAATTAATCCCATATGTTCTGTTGTTCACTTAACGCGGATTTCACTTAACACGGGACCCTCTGGGTTCTATTGACCGCGTTAAGTGGGGTACAACTATATATATATATATATATATATATATATATATATATATATATATATATATATATATATATATATATATATATATATATATATATATATATATATATATAATATGATTAGAATGGGTTTAAGTATTGCTGTACAGTATTAATCTGTTGTTTTTTTATTTCAGATTAACCAACAAATATAACTTGGCAGGCCAGGACCCTAAATGCGTTGCATTGATTATTATGAAAAAAAAAATCTGCCCTATTCATGTAATTGTTATACAAATGGACATTCAGGAACAGGACCCATACAGTTAACGAGGACTCCCTGTATATATATTTTTATATTTTTGTAGGTGTGCCATATTGTACTTGGTTTGAAGCCCAGCACTCGTGCGGAAGAAGGAGAAATTGTGTTAGGGTGGCTAAGGAGGGCAGAGACCAAGACACTTACTATTGGCCAATTTTGGTATATCATTAATATGGAATGGTGGAATCTGTGGCTTGATTATGTTAATCACCAAGTGAGTTATTTATTTTCTGTATCCGATATGCTTGTCATAAGTCATGAGATATATATTAACCTAAACACTATACAGTATATTGTATGTAAGTTTAGATGAAGGAATTTTTACCGATTGTATTTATCATGTGAAATAACCTGACATGGTTCTCTTGCAGACACCTGGATCAGACAGCAGCTCCCTTAGTCCATCATCACATAGCAGCTCTCCTGCCAGTTCTCAGTGTGGCTCTCTCAAGCGTACCAAACTTCAGAAGAAGTCTGCTAACTCTGAGGGAACTGTTGCCTCTGATGCTAACAGGTAAGGTGTCTTCCTTGTCATAAGCAAAACTTAAGATGTGAAACAGCTATTTGTTTATTTTTCTTTCTTTTTTCTTCTTTTAGTATGCAGCATCATTTCTGATATATTTATAATATGCTTAGATTAATTGGTGGGATCATGTGTTGGGATTGGACCACATGAAGTGAAAGAGACAGTCATTTCAGAGATGTTTATCACCTTAGGTTTTAGCAAATGAATCTGCATAAGCCACCTTTTGGAAAATATTTTTTAACGCTTATTGAATACCGGGTATGGATGGTTATTACTATTATTTATTTATTTTTTGGGATGATTTTTCAGACTTCCATCCATTTATTACTTGGCCTCAAAGCAGTTCATTTGCCATTACCAACCCTACAAAGTATTGAATTAGTGAATTCAATAACTTCTTTTATTTTCAGTAGTGTGCTAGTGACCAGTATAGCCAGCTTAGGTGGTGCAGACTCAATTTCTTTAACAAGCCTAGAGAGTGATGGATCTTGCCGCTTAGATCAATCAGGGTCTCGTCAGGGAACACTTCAACGTCACGGGCATTCTGCATCCAGCCCTCGTAAAAATTTCAGTTCAAGCAATCTTTCAGTTTATAATTATGAAGCAAACAGGTATATAAAAGAAATATTTTATTTTTATTGGACAACTTTTTTTAGGATTTATATTAAACTGTAAAAAGCTTATGCTCCTCAATTCTCTTATATTTTAATGCCATATTATTTGTCTTTAGTATCCTACATAACTTAGCAGCCAAAAAACCAAAGAGGAGCATATGCAGAGGTTCCCCTACTCATCATCAACTAGTTACAAAACATTTAATTGAAATACCCATCCCACATATAATTACACTCAGTGAATTATTCTATGTTTACTCTCTCAACATGTTCTGTGCCTCAATGTTTAATCCCTTTTTAATTCTTCATTCAAAACTGCATCTCTTTAAATTTTCCTTATTTGTTTCCCTATTATTTGTTTAAACCTTTAATTTGCTTCTAGAAAAAACCCTCTTGACTACTTGACTGTTACTAGCTATTCTGGTGTCAGATCATTACTTGATTAGAATACATTGGTAAGGGTTACATGGCTTCATTCAGTAGCACCTACTACACTTAATAAGAGCTTTCTCCTTTGTTTACCCTCTGTGTTAATACTACCGTAAACATTGCCACTATATAAAGATAATTGATGTGGTAGCTAGTGTTAAAAAATGTAATTTAAAACTTCCATAATATTTGTTGTGTAATATCAATAGATGCAGTAGTACATCAAGTCCAAGTCACTCCCCGCGTCTAACTCGTCGGGCAGCCACCAGTCCAGGACCACTGTTGGTCCCTTCACGACCTCCTGCTATTGATAATTCTCCATTAGTTGAGCCAAACACATCAAAAGTAAGTTATGCTATTAAATCTTCTCATTGAAATTTTAATTTATAAGAAATTTTTTTTTTATATAATTTCAAACCTATTTAATGTCCAAAAACCATCTCTTAAACATTATTTGCAAGATAAATGCTTTACTTTTTATTGGCCTTATATCTGTCTCATAATGAAAATCAGGCATTGGTGGCTGGAACTCAGTGGTATACCGTGGTTGCATTGATGAGGCATGCAGAACACCCACATATATCAGTTTTCAAATCAAATATAAAGTAGGATATGGCTTTTCTCTAAATAAGGGTTGTCAAGCTTTTATAAACACCTAAAAAACAACACTAAAATTAAAATATCTTACCTCAAATCATTTTGCAGTCAAGAAATATTTACTCTCTCTCTCGCTCATATATTATGTAAATCAGTAATTCATATACAAAGAAAATTTGAAAAAGATTCAATATTTACATCCAATATGAAAATGTACAAAGAACCTACAATTGCAGCCTACATTTCAATATCACAACATTCAATATTCTTGTTGTGTCTGATATCTTTCCGGTTGGCACGTGTTCCACATGCACCTGTTTTTCCATCATTTAGGTACTGAAACAAAGTGGGGCTACTGTATCAATTATCACAATATAGTATCCAGTACAGTACTATGTGATTTCTGCATGTAATCTTTCATGGGTGTTTTGACCGCAGAGCTAGAAAAACCCAGGTTCTCATCTCGTTCTATGGCAGTAGTTGCCCCTGTGTACACAATGAAGTCAAGAATGTAGTCAGTTTTTGCATCACATAGTACAAACAATTTTACTGCATTACTCCATTCCTATGCCGTTTTGACGGTATGTACTGCCAGAAGCCTAGTCTACCACGCCACGGCAATAAACGTTCATCAATACAAAGGTCTTGGTATGGAGTAAGCATTTCCCTATACTTCCTACACATGTGATCAACAACTGGCCTTACTTTGCATTGCCTATCATTTTTTTGTCAATTTGGTTGTTATCTGTGAAATGCAGGAACCGTAATATTAGTAAAAACCTGTCATGGGACATGAGTTTGGAGAATATTGGTGTCTCAAAAATCTCATCCACTGTCCAATAGTCATTGATTCTGTATTTTTTTACATGTCTCATAAGCATCAGTAAGCACAAAACCATGTAGATGTCATATCTGGTAACTGGTTTCCAAGTAACTTGATGCCCACTTCCCCAAAAATCTGGCTTAGATTCTTTCATCTGAAGGTAATAGCGGTTAGATTCTCACACTATTAAATCTGTAAGTTCCTCATCCTGATACATGAGTAAATAATCTAGCTCATTTGACTCATCTATCACACTGCATGCATCAGTCAATCCTGAGTTACTTGCATCAAATGGAAAAACAAAAGATGTAAAAGGAGTTTCATCCCAGACCCACCGAGCATGACCTTGAGCAGGCATGGGACATGTTGTAGGCAGTGTAGGGGGTTGCCGAACAGCTCCATGTGTCACCCGCTGACTACTAACAAAGGACTGACTATCTGATTGAACAACCTCTCTCTCTCTCTCTCTCGGTGAATGCTCTGTGCTGCCGTTAGGTTTTTCTTTCTACCCAAGGAGGAACTTTGCTTACCATGCCATTTCCTTTAAGAACTTGGTCCAGGCTGGGGATCAGATTTGTCAGTATCACTTGAACATGATATATTATGCTCCCTACCTTTTGTTTCTTTCAAAAGATTCCTTTCACAATCACTTTCACTATCATCGGAGAGAGCATCTGAATCAGTATCAATAATATCCATTTGATCAAGAAAGTAATTATCTTGCCTCGACAACTTCGTGGCAGCGGCCAAATCTCATACTGCTCTCTGTGACATCATGAAACATACTGACATGTCTGTGTTCTTATATGGATACAAAAACAATCCACACAGTTTGCAACACTCGTTATCAGCTACGAGAAACCACTTTCTGCACCACCAGATGGGCGCGGGCAATTTAAATGCTAAATCACATATACCTGTACGTGACACCTGTTGTCTATGGAAAACACTCGGTGGCACATACTGTATATGTGACACTCGAGGCAAAGGGGTTAAATAAATAAAAAATAAAATGACTCGAGTCTCACACTGAGGCCAAGGGGTACACTAACCAAAAAGGTTCAGACCCACTGTTCTAAGGTGTGCTTTGTGTTGTTACTATTTGTAGCTCTAGATTCTGCTTGTTTACTCAGTTGTTGGAGATGTGGTAGCCTGACTTACTTACCTTGATCCTGAAGTTGTTGATTCCATTACCTGCATTATACAGGTATCCCTTGCTTTACGAACATTCAAGATATGAAAATTCACATACGAATTTCCTAATTTAGCACCTCTTTCTTAGTTAAAGAAAACTACCCTCCCCTATAAAAATTGTGGTCCAAGCAAAATTTTATATAGCATGCCCCTAGGAATCTGCTGGGGCAGCCATCTTGGAGAGATGCACAGAGACATATTGTCACTCAATGATCATAACAAACTCCCCCTCCCTCCCGTGTCTTTAGTTCCGTCATTCCCCACCCAAAGTTGTGAGATCTGACTGCCCTCCCTTTAGGTTATTGCTCCTGCTATATCAGTTCGTTTGTTTTAATTCACAGCTGAGGATGATGGTGTGCATATTTAAGTGTTACACTTGGCTTTGATGCTAAGTTAGACTCAACACTATACTATAGTAGTCACATCCCCTGAGTCCTCTTACTACCAGGCTGAGCTTTAAGCTATGTTATGGCTATTATTCAACTTGTAATTTCAAGTAGATAAACTTGACTTTCTCAATTTTTTTTTAATCGGCTACATGCACTCACAATCCTTCATACATAATGTGCAAAAGAAAAGTAAAATAAATAAGTATCATAACATCAAAAACATAAGGGAATAAACATTTCTTTGTGTGTGAGAGCTAGCACGCTGAGAGGGGGAGCGGAGTATGGGTACCCCGTTGCTAAGGGTCGATAGAGGCAGCATCCCAGTTGAACTGCATTGCAATGGCGAGCTTTGAGGCTATGCAGCCAGCGTCTTATGCAAGTTGTGTTAAACTTTAATTTAACTTTTCCTTAATGTTTTCAGTTGCATGTTTTCATCTAGATAGTATTAATGTGTTTAGTAGTAAATTTCAGTAATTGTGTAGTGTATTAGTAAAACCTTCATAACTCGGCACGTATTGGGCTCTGGCCTTGCCGAATTATACACTCCCCTATTTTTCCCATTTTCCCCTTGTTCTCTATTTGAGATACAAAAATTCATCTCACAAATGGTTTTCCAGGAACTGAACCCGTTCAGTAAGCGAGAGATACCTGTACTGAAGTTGCACTTTTACTCAGGAGCTTTGTATTTTCTGCTCTCATTGAGAAATCCTTTAAAATATTTACATAATGATATACAGTGGTCCCTCGGTTAACGAACACAATTCGTTCCACAGAGTTGTTCGTTAACCGAAAATTTCGTTAACCGAGTCTATTATTTTAATGGGATATTGGGTAATTGGTTCCAGCTCACAAAAAAAGTACATACAAAGTATAAACAAAATGCAGTAAAGTGCACTTACTTTGAGGTGTGTATGTAGAATGTTGCTGGTTGACGATGATGGTGGGAATTAGAAGTGGGGGTGGAGGAGGAGAAGGGAGAAGAGGAGCATTTTAATGCTTCTTGGAAGACGAGTCTCCTTCCACAATACTGTAATGTCAGGAACCTCTGGACTGACAGATTCTCTAACATGAAAATCCTCTCTCCTTTTTGGAGAGGAACATTGAGGGGAAGCATTTTTCTCACTCACGCTTGATGCAGTAATTTTACCAATAAAATTTTTTAAGTTCACTAGCTGTAATTAAAGATTATTTTATTTAAATCAACACTGCACTGCACTATATACAGTATTATCAATATGTTAACAAAATTTCAGAATGACCAATAATTATAATGCAAAAACATAAAAATACTCTGTATTCAAGAGACCAACAAACACTATGTTTCCTCCACTGTAAACAAAGTTAAACAGAGACGCTTTGGTGAGTGAGTCAAGCGGCTGATGGGCGCACAAAAAACTAGTTCCCTGTGCTGCATATATTATCAATATGGTAACTAAATTTTAAAATGACTAATAATTTTGATATAAAACATGCAAAAATATTAAAGAGCACAACCTTCTTGATATTTACTCCACTGGAAACGAATGTAAACATAGAATCGATTACTGTATTGGCGGACTAGCCGATCAGCTGATATGCACAACAAAACGTGTTTGTCATAAGGATTTCGTTAATCGAAGTTTTGTTTGTTACTCGAACCGTTCGTTAACCGAGGGACCACTGTAGATTGAATGGATATTATGTAAAGCTTTATGAAGGTGGACCATTTGTATTCACTCTGTTACCTAATTTTATTATAATCAATCTCTTTTGTTTATTTTAACAACATGTCCATCACAGGTAATGCTCTTAACTGGTGAGGGTGGGCGGTTGAAACGAAATGTACCTCTTGTTCAAGGCCGTGACTTTGTATTAGTGCCTGATACCCTCTGGAAAGCCCTTCAGCAGTGGTATGGGGGAGCTCCTGCCCTTCCAAGACAGGTGAGTTTTGCAGTATTTTTAAAGTTCTGTACAGTACTGAGTAGGGTATCAGACTTCATAAATTTATGCTACAGTATTAGATTTATATTATATTGATCTCTTGAGCCAACAGAAATTGGATTGTATACACACATAAATGCATACACACATGCTTGCACATACAAAGTAATTGGCTGACAGTAATTAAAAATTAGTATTTTGTACAGTAGCATGACCTTAATAAACTAATGTAGAAACTGGAGATCTCTGTTGTAACAGTCTGATACACAAATTATATCACCCTTTCCTTCTCCTGTATAACTGTTCACAAATGAATCATTCAAATGCATAAACTCAGGATGTAATGCGCCTTCACAAATTTTAATTATTTTATTCTCTGAGGTAAAAGAAATCTTTCTTTGTTTTGGTTATTGCTTTTTATGTGACTAACTTTAGTGATCACCAGGTTATTCATGGACGTTCAAGTGGAGAAGTGGAATTAGAATTGTATCCAGTTACTCTCCGGCTGTTCCGACACGTCCAACAGCAAACCAGAACTCCAAATAATTCCTGGGTGGGCGTTGTAGGTGGCTACGGGGCTGCAGCCCTTAGTAAGTTTGTAGTGCATTCCTTATTGAATCTAATTTGATATGACATGTTTTGAATGTGGCAGTGTTGAAATATAGCATTGGCTAATTTGTTAGAAAAATCAAAGGTTTTAAGATACAGTTCAAGCTGACCTCAATTTAAGAATACAGTACTTTAATCCATTCTAATACTGTAGCATTTATTGATTTTATTGTTGAATTTCACCAGATTCGGCACCATATTATGTGACATCCTTACCAAACTCCACAACAACTCCTCCAAAAAGATACCTAGCATACCTTGCAGCCTTTAGTCGTTTGGCAACCTTACGGCAGGTATATGATTACTTGGCTACAAAGTTAAGATTACGCATTGAGGATATAAGGCTGTGGTATGTAAGAGATGAGGTAAGAATAACTACTACAGTATATGCATTAGAAATTGAGGATATCAGTTTAATTATTACTCGTTTCCTTTTGGAAGTCATTTTGTTTTATTGTCCGTTTTTTTTTTTTTTAGATTTTCTGTCTTATTTCCTCCCAAAATTAACTTTGACTGTACTGTACTTTACACTGGGACTTAGTATCTCTCATATTGTCCTACCAAGTCTATAGGATTAAAATCCAGGTAACCCTGAGACACTGGCAACTAGGACTAAGTCATTGATTGGCTACACCTTCCTTCTGATATTAGATCCCTAAAATTGTGTCTTGAAAACAGGAGTTTTCACTCAAGGCTAATGGGTTATGACATCACAGCAACTGTGTGCACCTCACTTTTACTTATCATCAGCCATGAACTGTGTTTCTGAATCAACCCATTATTTCCAGCTGTTTCATGTCTTGCTGTAAATGTGTTGGTCTTGACACATTATCTCTTATGGGAAAAATTGAGTGCATGCCTGGTTTTAGTACATGTGAGATTTAGTAAAGTTTGGGCATGCAATTTTGGCATTCTTATCATTGTTGGGCAATTTATGCCCTTTCTTATTTTATGGTGCAAGTGTACTTAAGTTTGGCAACTATCCATTTTGAATTTGGTTGAGATCAGTGTGTGGGGATGGTGTAACCAATGCTGTGGCATTGGTTAACACAATTTCACAGGAAGTAACTTAGTAAGTGTAGTCAGACCATATCATTAAACCTTGGTACCTGGCTTGAGGGAGGAATAATGTGTTAAATATCTGATATAGCTGACATAAGTTCTATTTCACACACACTAAGGTTCATCTTCAGGGCACAGACTTGCGTATAATATCTTTAGTCAAGAAGTTTTGTGCTATCTTACGCTATCTTTATGCAAGTAACAGTTTTATTTGATATATTGATTTAATGGAAATCTTATAGTGTATCATTAATTGGTTGGATTGAGTTGAACTGTTTAAGTGAGAGTAGTCTAATCTGTGGACCTGTATGCCCACTGACTGAGTTATAACTCTCCTTGACAGTGTTCGCCCTAGGGTGGGGACATAACACTGAGAACAAGCTTTATTACCTTTCAACCCAGTTTAGCAGCCAATGGGGAATACTAGGAAATAACAAGCCTTATGACAGTATATTGCTCTCACTTAATCATAACACATTAATTATTTATTTATCTTGCAACACAACCCTTGCATAAGTTGATTGCTACATTAGTATTTAAGATGTTGAAAAGTGATTCTGTTTTGGAGGAATAAGTGAAATTTAGGTGGAGAGGCTGGCTATTATTGAATTTAGTAGTCCATGATCTGCTGGATGAATCATCTTAAACAGTGTGCTCCACACTTTGGACAAATAGATTATTATTCTTTTTCATGATAATTTTTGTATTAAGTTTATGGAGGCAACTTCACTGTTTTAATCCAGAAGAAATGATTGGATAACACATGAATTGCTCAGTTCACACTCAGCTATGAACATGAATATCCATGATCAATCCATCAATTATGCTGTGGAACTAAGAAGCTGAATCTTAGCATCCAGGATGGCCTTTTATAGAAGCAGTGAGGTAACTTTTTATGACTGTTGCTGCTTTGAGCAAACCTGGTGATCATAAATATGTGAATGTGAACTAGTATTAATGTATCATGTCAGTCTGCCAACAGTTTCTCATAACTGTGTTAGTTTTTCAGTGTACTCTATCACTTGTCCTATTAAATTGATATGTAATCTTCCCTCTTAATGTTCACCAATTGAAGTCTTACCAGATTTCTGAAGTGTCCATCTGCCACAAATTTTCACAATCATGCAGACACTCTTATACTGTACCTTAAAAGAATTATTTGTAGTATTATCAGTAATACTAGAGAAGAAACTATCACTGGTTCAATGCTGTAGTTAAAGTTAATTTTTGGAGGCATTTTTAGAGATTGATTTTAAGAATTTTTTTTTAAATGCAACTTTTTTTTACATTTATAAAGAACTTCTTACTGATTGATATTAGCCTGCTGGGATGATTCTGCTGGAGGAGGAAGACGCGACCTTGGAGGAGGTGGGCGTGGTAGACCTTGCACAGATATTAATTGAAGTCAGAAATAAAGATCTGACATGGCCAGAAGAGATGAGTCAGATTGCTTCTACCAGACTTATACGTACACAGTCCAGTCAGGGTTAGTGTTTTTATTTACTGTACTGTATTATTAATATTATTATTATTATTATTATTATTATTATTGCATTGCTCCATCATGGGTTAGTCTTAGTGTGGCAATGATAGCATTGTTGGTGCAGGATTAAAGGGAACTTGTTGATTTATATCAGTACGTATTTGTTTAGATGTTTCTAACATTATCAGTTGAAGCTTAACACTCTTGCGCACCATGAACCGATATCCACATCTTGTTCGATTGGCACTGACGCCATTGTCACCTCACTCAAAAGAAAAAAAATTCAATTCAAGTAACTATGGCACGTGAATTTTTGGCGAATCACTCCTGGAACCATCGTCTCTCATGGTAATCAAACACTAATTTGATATATGGCAACCCCTCCTAGCAGGAGGCTTGAGCACTTCAGTAATCTCCCAGCAGTCACACCAGAATGTGCTGTGCACGTTCTTTAAATTTTCTCCCTTTCTTCCTCTCACACACACTCCAGCCCTCCATTGTCGAATCTTTGCCTGTATTTTTTTTTTTAAATATTAGTTTTGCAAAATGGTTATTTAGTTTAATTTTCAATATTTCTATGGTTCAGACTTGTAATGGTTGTGTGTGTGTGTGAACTGCTGGGATGGATTTTTTATTCTAAAATCACTTAAACCAAACCATGCATGCTAGCAAAATTCTTAAACCACCTCAACATTCCTGGACAATTATACTAACCAATGGAATAAAAAAAATTAAAACAAAAGTATGAGCAATGGCTAAAACTAAAAAGTATATGAAAAAAAGATAACCCCCCATTTTTTTGGTCTTATCATTACTCATCACATCATCTGACGCACATCACCTGCACTCCATCTGGGATTCCCCCTGGAGGCATCACCACGCCTGGCAGCAGTCACTTTTTGTCAATCCCAGCGGGAGTTCAGGTGCAGTGAGTGTAACCTTACCTGTGACCTTACCCCACCCACGGCCCTGGTCTGATTATTCCATCCCTGTGGACATTTTGTCAAACCTGCCACTCGGGTGCAGAAAGTGACAGCTACGGTGGGCCATGCAGGTCAACACTGACATTGAAATCACATTACAGTACTGAAAGGTCAATTATTTTACTAATACATCTAACTGATGCATAGGTATCATATTATGATACCTTTGCATCGGTTAGAATTTTTTGAGCAATGCAAGTGCATCGTCTGTATTGGCTTGGATCTGGCCCTGCACTAAAGATCTTATAATCAGACTTTGCACTATTTTAGGGGACAGTAAGACATTATTGCACATTAAATGACTTTTAGTTTAGATGAAGAATGTCCATTTAGCAATTACTAGTATGGGACATCATTATAGTAAAGCTTATTATATTTTTCCTCCAATTTGTGTGTACATTATAAACTGCTGGAGAGTGAGAGTGACAGGTGTAAAAATTATTGAAAGATAAATAAATAGCCACATTTCACTACTTTCGACACAAGTTTGGTATGGCTTTCATGCCTTATCCCACTGTCCTGGGGGTTTCTCTGTTCCTTAACCCACCCACATAGAATGGGAGAGGAATAGACGTAAGAATTGGATAGATTCAGTGTTATTTGAAGAGTTTGTGTTTATCATTTAACTCAATCTGATTGTTAATTAAATTTTTTTATGTTATTCCAAATTTTGTTTCAGGTGTCAAAGAGAAAGGAGTAACAGGGCTCAATAACCTTGGCAACACATGTTTCCTTAATGCAGCTCTTCAATGCTGCTCTAACACTCACCCCCTCACCACTTACTTCATCAATAATATGCACCTTTATGAGCTAAATCCTGATAATCCATGTGGAATGAAGGGCCATATGGCACGGCAGTATGGAAATCTGATGCAAGAGCTGTGGGGTGGTGGTGCTAGAACTGTGGCTCCACTGAAATTAAGGGTTTGTAATATTCTATGTTTAAAGTTTCTGTCCCTCATGACGTACCTCATGTATAAGTGGTAGAGGAATAGATATAATAAATAGAATTCTATATTGTAATAAACTTGGAATTAGTTGCAGTATATATCTTTCCCTTAATATTTTGGACTGCTTTACCAATGTATTTATGTGTGTCATTGTATTTCATTAGTGGACCATAGGGAAATACAGTGGCAACTTCACTGGGTTTCAACAACACGACTCCCAGGAGCTGCTTGCCTTTCTCCTTGATGGTTTACATGAGGACCTAAACCGAGTTCACAACAAGCCATATATTGAACTCAAGGATTCAGAAGGTCGCCCTGATACACTTGTTGCACAGGAGGTTCGTGTTGCGTCACTTATACAGTATTTTGTTATGAACTATTTTTATACATTCACTTTTGCAGTATTGATGTTGACACGGCCCCCACCCCCTCCCTTTTTTTTTTACTTGACTGTTTGGCATTGCTTAGATTGACAGTACCAGTTTGTTTTTGTCAGGGGCCATAGGAAGAAAAAGGAAAGTAAGATCAGTCCTCCTTTTACTATGCTCTCAGTACTACTAAGTTGAACAGCTAAGGCTAACCAATCACAAAATGTTGAAAATAGACATAATTTATTCTTTTAATCAGTGAATTATATTAAATGAAAAATTCTCTTGTGTTTACAGGCATGGGAGAATCATATCCTTCGAAATAAGTCAATAATTGTGGACCTCTTTCATGGCCAGTTGAAGAGTAAAGTTACTTGTCGGGTATGCAGTAATGAAAGTGCGAGATTTGACCCATTTACATACCTAACATTGCAGCTGCCAATGGAAAGTTTTGTATATTTGGAGGTTATAGGTGAGTAGTCTTGTTATGATTTATGATTTTTAAAGCTTTAAATTTATTTTGTTGTAAGTGGTTGTAGTTTATTATGAATACCAGTAAGAGTTTCCTTGTACAGTAGTGGTAAATCTGAATATATAGCATTGTTTTAGAATGTACAGTATTTGTATGATTAGTAATTTAATTGTTTATTTGCAGTTGTTAAACTTGATGGTAGTGTTCCTGTTAAGTATGGACTGCGGTTGAACAGCGACAGTCGCTACTATGATGTGAAGCAGCACCTTCACATTCTTACCAGTATACCCCCACATCAGATAATGCTCAGTGAACTGGCCAATGCTCAGATCAAGGTAATTGTTAGGGTATAATTCTATCAACTTGACATAAAATAATTGTATTGTACAGGGTATATTGTAATTCATGAATCTTTCCAGTAATATACTGTACAAGATTCATTAGATTTCTTGATGACCATTATACAGTATTTGAACATGATTTATTTTTGTTCTTTCTTCATCTTCTATTAACTTTTTGATTCATTTCCCATTGTTTGAAAAACAGAAGATGTAGTATTTGTCATTCTCTGTCCTTCGCATGTCCATCTTTCTGCCCTTCATCTGTCCATCCTTCTATCTTTCACCTGTCCATCTTTATGTCCTTCACCTGTCCTTCACCTGTCCATTCTTTTGTCCTTCACTTGTCCTTCGCCTGTCCATCTTTCTGTCCTTCATCTGTCCATCCTTCTGACCTTCATCTGTCCATCCTTCTGTCCTTCATCTGTCCATCCTTCTGTCCTTCATCTGTCCATCCTTCTGACCTTCATCTGTCCTTCACCTTTTCATCTTTCTGTCCTTCATCTGTCCATCCTTCTGACCTTCATCTGTCCTTCACCTGTCCATCCTTCTGACCTTCATCTGTCTATCCTTCTGTCCTTCATCTGTCCATCCTTCTGACCTTCATCTGTCCATCCTTCTGTCCTTCATCTGTCCATCCTTCTATCCTTCATCTGTCCATCCTTCTGACCTTCATCTGTCCTTCACCTGTCCATCCTTCTTTCCTTTACCTATCCATTCATCTATCTCTCCATTCATCAAAGTCACTTCCCCTTTAATATATTGACTCTTGTGTCTTGTTACTTTATCCTTTTCTCTCACTTCCACGTCAGATGTTGTGTATTTACTGTAGGTGTGTAAACTTCTTTCTTGTTTTAGGGTCAGCAAAAGAAACGTCCGTAGAGATTAAAGTGCAGGTCATACATAACAGAGCACTGAATTATAGTACAGTAAGATCTCATATTTCGCGTTTTTGAATTTCGCGAGCACTACCTAATGTAACCAAATCTTATATTTGGCGTAAGATATCGTGAATTTAGCGAGATCCAACCAGCTGAATGAGCAAGTTGAATGCTGGCCACCGTCTTGAATGACGTCACAGCCCTCATACCGGTTACAGTCATTTCTGCTAAAACGCGTGTTTTGTCAACGCGAATTGGTTGCAACGCGATTGATAAAATGGGGAACGCTGTTTATAAAACGCGAACTTTTGACTACGAATGTTGGCTACAACACGATTCCAGCCTCAATGTTTTGATTCCATCCTCAACGTTTTAAGCGTGGCGCAGGGATATACAATGTTTACAGTTCACGTTCGACATCACATGTTCAATTGATTCGTGTCTTATGTTTGTGAAGTGTTTTTTGAGAGGTACTCTGTAAATTTTGCTATTTTTTTGTTTTATTTTTCAAATTTAGCTGTTACCCATAAATACTGTATGGAAAGAATAAGTAAAAAGAATGTTTCGCAGTGAGGACTAATAACGGTTTACACCAGCGCTCTCTGTTTACATCAGGTGATCAGTTGAATCGAGCGGTTTCTGTCGATTACTCCGTGATTTTTGCTGTTTTCTCCAATTTTGTTGTGTTAGCGATGAATATGGAAAGACAAGGTAAGAAGAATGTTTCCAAGAAATGTTCTGGTGATTGAATTGCCAGTGGCGAACGTGTATTAGCCTCTGTCACATTAATATTATATAAATATGAGCTAAGGACATATATTCATGATATACATTCTATCACCCAGACTATTGAGCATACAGCTACATAAACATTTGTTCTGTCACACCTCCTAGGGTGGATAGCCCATAAACATTTGTTCTTTCACACCTTCTCGGGTGTACAGCCCATAAATCTACAGACTCAACCCTCCGTGTGAGTAGGTTGTTTAGATAATGTCTGTGGTGAAGGATCGGTTATTCTCCAACCACCAGACTCAAGAGAGGACAGCCAGTTCCCCCGGTTCACAGCTAGACACGATACTCTAAAGTCGTGTCGTGAGACCAGCTCTCCAGGCTGTACCTCTCTCTAATTATATCAGCTAATTACAAGCTAATAGCTAATGCTCATTAGTCTGTCAATACCAAATAATTGTACAGACATGACTACCCAATATAACTAGAAAATCACCACGTGTGTTTACATTAAACCAAGGAACAACGAGTGAAGAGAACATTACCTGTGTGTCTTGTTTGACTTACAAGCTAAGATAATTACAAGTACAACCCAGGGCAGCTGCGACGATTTCGACTATCAACCAATCTACGACTGTATCAAAGGTGACACACCGTGAGATTACCTGATATATCACTCGGTTGCATCAAAGGTACCAGCAACTAATCTACACTCATTCAGGCAAGTGTTAACAAGTGAGATAGTTCGATATACCACAGCTATAACAAACGTAAAAGAGGTTTACAAGAACGCAACTATCGCGTTGAAGCCCACGCCATCCTAGCAACCGCCCGGGCTGTTATTGTGTGCTTTTTTGGGTGATGCTACCACCTGTTGAGTCAAGATAATGGCCTCTACCTCTACTGGTGCTGGTGGGGGTGGGACAGACCCTCCTAAGCGGCCAAATAAGGAAAAGGAGAAGCGGGACTATCATAAGGGAGTACTCGATGCAGGATAAGCAGCGTGTGATTAAGTTACTTGAGGAAGGCCTAAAAACTAGTTTCCAGAATGAACAATCAGGTCAATAAAGGCAGAATTTGTATCATTTGGAGGTTTTAAATGGGAAAATCAGAGGTTGATGTAGAGTGGCTAGTCTATATTGCTAGTATTTTTCCCATTAGTTTATGTATTTGCATTAGGAAAATTTGAATTTGGTGCAATTTTTCCAGTCTATATTACTCGCGAAATACAAGATCTTACTGTAGGTAAATAGTTTAGAGCAGTGTTCCCCAACCTTTTCAACACTGAGTCACAGTTCTCAGCACCTCTAAATCCTTTGGTCACATATAAAGTTGTCATCATAAATAGGATACATTTAATAGGAAAATCATACTTCTGTATGAGTGTACACTACAAGTACAGTATATTACAATAAGTTGCCTTTATCCAGAAAAATTTACCCTTACATTTACAGTACAAAGTACAAAATAAGAAACACTTACACATAAAATTCATTTGTGCAGCCACGCCTCATCACAAACTACATATGGCATTGGTTACTTTCAGTGTGATTTTTGTTGTTGGATAGTTGCAGGAAGCAAGTTGAATCGTGTGGCGATATTTCTTGTTGCTGCCACTCTCATGCACTCAGACAACATAATCTCTCCAAGCCTCTGCCTTTTTTTTGCTCTTGATGGTGAGCGGATCTGAGAACCCTCTCTCAGAGGAGTAAGTGCTGTGGAATGCTACCAGAACTTGGAGTGCTTTACCAGCAATCATCTCATATGCTTCATTTCTGGCTCACTGTTACCCAAAAGACGGTGCAGTTGCGGCTGTTGAAAAAGTCCTTATTTCTGAGTCACAGTGGAGTTCGATCAGTCTTTTTCTTGAGTGGGCAGATTGCTGTCGTTCAAGTTTGAGATAAGGAATGGGTTTCTTATCCAACTATTCTTCTTCTTTTCTTCCTCATTTGTAGGAGGAAAATAATGGTTAAAATTCTGCTGAAGAACGGTGAGTTGTTGGGACACAACTATCATCATTTTGTTGTCAATGACTTCATCCTTTCACCCTGCAATCACTTGCCCAAGCTCATCGAAGTCTGAAAAGTCCCTTTTCTCAACTCTTTTCTTCCAGCCTGAAATTTTTAATTTGTATGCCTAAATTTTGTCATTGGAAGTGAGCACATCTTGACCGGGCCCTTGAAGGGAGAGGTTCAACACATTGAGCGTGGTGAATATATCACACAAGTAAGAAAGCTTAGCAACCCACTCCTCTTTCATGAAACAGAATGCATGCGGTGAGCCACATTATTGCAAGAAGCCATGAACTGCCTGCTTTAGTTGAAAGAGTCTCTTCAATACAACTCCTCTTGATAGCCATCACACTTCGTTGTGAAACAGCAGGGTCTTCTCAGTCTCCCCCATCCCATCGCAGTCATGAAACATGCAAGATTTCTTAGCTTTGCTCTTGATATTAATGATGATAATGACCCACTTTTTTGTTACTGCATCCAAACGGACTCACTTGGTAGATGCTTTGATGCCAAATTTTGGCGATGTCGGGAGCAGTGAGAACTTATACAGTTCGGTGCATAATATTTCAATCTTGCCACTGCCCAAACCACACTCACTGTGCCATCTGTTGTGATGTGTGAACACTTTTCAATTGCAATTTCATTGTGGGTGAGACAGTCCAGAACTTTTTTTGCAATTGCTTCACCAGCAGTTTCTGTGCCAACATCTTCACAGAAAAGAAACTCTTCTGTCATTTGCAAGTGCTCACAATCAACATAGCAAATGAAGCATATCAGCCTAGTCCTGTTTGTGAGATCTGTCGACTCTTCAAATTGCAATCCATAGCAGGGACTTTTACTATGCTACCACATTATGTGTGTGGTCAGGGGCCCCTAGGCACATGCCTCATGTGCCTATTGGGAAATCTGCCACTGCACAGGATAAAGCAAGATTGACTTGTTCACTGATTTTTGTGGGTCTCAATGTCAATCACAGCTGCTCCTGTGTCACAGCACCTGGTCACACTAGTAAAAGGTTTGGGTCACAGTACTATGACCCTGGTCACAGGGTTGGGGAACACTGGTTTAGAGGAAGTTCTTATAAGTCATGGTCGAATATTATGGTATTACTATTTTACAGTGTTAGCAGCATTGCTGTACAGGGTACTTAATGAAATTACTATAATGAAGTTAGTGAAATTAAGGCTGTTTTTCTTAAGTCTTCATGATCTATTTTTAGGGTTTTGTGGTTTGTACTCTATCTTGTTATTTCAGTATATTCCTATGGATGAAGGACGTGTGAGGACAGTGTCTGGAAATGCTCTGTTTGCTTATGAATTACCCTCACCAACTTCTTGCCATTCAAATGAAGTACGATCAGCCAGCCGAAGTGCCCGAGACCGGCATGTATTCACTCATATACAGCGTTCCACTCATCATAGTTCACCTTGCCTTAGAGGTTTGTATATTTAGTCATGTTATTTTCAATAAAACTTTTTTGGTGTCAACCTATCATCAGTAGTTGTTCACATATGCATTGGACTGTAATAGGCTGTCTTTCTCAGTTTTCCCTACATTTTCTCATACTTCATGTTAGATATATACTGCATCTCAAGTATCGGTTGCTCATTTACCAAAGTTAATATGGAGTATGTTTGATTGTTCGCCTTGATATTCCCCAAACTCCTGGTGATATATAATATTATGTGAGTTAATGATTCTTCAATGTTCATTATTTAAAATAAATATGAGTACAGTATTATTTCTCTATACTGAAATAATTTGGTGAGCAGCCAGTTCTGTACTGTATAGGGATTTTTTCGGTATAGAACTAATCCAAAAAAAATTGTCCAATGCCAAACTTTCTTTGGTGTATGGTATATGATAAAAGTTCAGTATTTTTAGTCCAAGTAAATTTCAAGCATTATTAAGCTGCAGGAGCAGCTCATTGAGATCCAGAATGATGAGACACATCAGTGCAATTTTAAAAAGCAAAAGGAATCACTTAGTGGGTTCTGGATAAAAATAAAAAAATAAATAAAAAATTTTTTGGGGAGTTGTAGCTCTCAAAGTACTCTTGTCCTATGTTATGACATACTTGTGTAAGGATTTTTGACTCTTACAGCCACAGACAAAGCTCCAACACCAATTTTGCGAATTACATTCCTTCATTTGTCATTTATTTTAGCATCATTTATATCAGCATATATCATGTGACGACTGAAGTATGGGTCACTGAGGTAGTGCCATGGCCATAATTTGGATTGCAGCCAAAAAAGGTTAACCACTGGCATTGCTTGAAGGGGATGGATGAACTGTTGGTGCGTCTGAAATGACTTTGTGATAGACCACACAGAAATCTTAGTACCTTCCTGTTAAAGAAGAACACCATAGCAGTACACTACTGATGAGGCATTTTGCTGTAGCAAAATTGGGCTTGAAGTGAAGGTGGGTCCCACAGGGATAACAAAGCCTAAAAAAAAATAACATATGATATCTCATTTGCAGAGGCAGTTGGTAGTCCTTCTCACAGCAATGGTACAACAGAAAGTGTTATTTCCAGTCCCAGTAGCCTTGAGTTCAACACCAGTAGATCAAGTCTACAATCTAGTCATCCATCATCACATCAGGTGAGAGTACCTTACATGTTTATCAAATTGTTCATAATTGAGGAATATGTATATGACAGTCATTGAGTTGTGGAAAAATGTTAGCATTTACATTTGCAACTATGTACAGTATTTGTACTTCTGGAGTAGCAGTTTAACTTATTGTGCTCATCAAATAAATTTTTCAATTTCACAATATCTGAAGCTGTTACTTGCTCAAAATTGGACTTAATCCGGCTGTCTACTCTTGTAAATTTGTGTAACCTGCCAAATGTAAAGATAGATTTTTCCTTACTGAGATTCTTATTCTATTCATGAAATAATCATTAAATTAATAACAAAAATTATGTTGGAGGATTAACTTTCATTACTTACAATTGAGAGAATTTCCCTCCTTATTAATTGTCTTTGAAATTAATCCTCAGATCTGTATGTTTTTATAGAAAAATATGTTCTCCATGATGAATATATTATGGATTGTATTGTACAGGAATTGGGAAGCAATAAGATGATTGAGCATAAGGACAGCAGTAGCAGCTTGCCATCATCTACCTCCTCAGGACCACCAGCTTCATCAACAAACTCATCAATCCAGCATGACAATGACCTTTATAATACTCATAAAGGATTTATTATTGCCTTTCATAGGAAAATGGTAAGAATATCCCTTGCATGTCCCTCCAGGTGTACAGTCTGCGCGGAATGTTAGTTCGTGTGCTGAAAAAATATTGATATTTACGATTATGTAATATAAATAAAGTCAAGTAACACTTACCACTTCAATTAATACTTTGTAGTGTTTCCTCTGCGCTTCAGACAGTCTTTTAGCCTTCGAGGAACACTGTCAGCAAGGTTTTGCAAGAGGTCAGGTGGCAAGTTAGCCCAGGTATCCTTGATGGCTGCCTCTAGCTTCGGGATTGATGATGTGTCAGCGTAGCGCAGACGACGCTTAACAATGGACCACAAATTTTCTATTGGGTTAAGATCTGGGCTACTGCCAGGCCAGTCATTAAGGAAAGGTACCTTCACAGTCTTTGACCCACTGTATGACACTTTAAGCAGTGTGGCATGGGGCACCGTCCTGCATGAAAAGGCTTGCCTTAGCTTTATCAAATGATTCAGGTAAGAAATCACTGAGCAGTTCAAGATAGTTGTACTGATTCATCATCTGGTACTTAGGGAGGATTACTAGTTCACCAACACCATAATACGTAAAGGAAGCCCAAATCATAAGCGAGGCAGGGTGCTTAACAGTGTACTGTGGGAGGTGCGCGTCTGAGTGGGGGGGGCGGTACACCCTCCTTCCATTACTCCCAGTCACAGAAAACGTAGCCTCATCCGACCATAATACACTCCTCCATGTCTCTAAATCCCACACTTCATATTTCTTGCAAAATTTCACTCTATTTTCCTTCTGTCTCTTTGTCAACAGAGGTTTACGGCGGGCACGAAAGCTCTTAAATCCCAGGTCATCGTGCAGGGCTTGTTGAACACAACGTAACGAGACGTGACTCAAAAGACGGGTGTTTCTCTCTTTCACTTCACGTGCTGTGAGTGAGGGATTGGACCGAACTTGTCGAGAAATAACCTTAAGTGTCCGTGGAGACAATAATTTAGGCCTACCAGACTTAGGTAATGGAGCTGGTAACTCGTCCTCTCCAAGGTCACGGAAACGTTTGACAAGATTTTGAACAACTCGTAATGCCACACCAATCTGAGCCGATATTTCTCTCAGTACATGGTTCGCTTTGTACAATGCAATCACTGCTGCAATATCGTCTCTTGTAGTAACCCTCCTGGACATCTCTGATGACCACTATGTCAGGTTAATGCACCTTAAACTAGACAAAACATGGCCACATGATGCGGGAACCCACACAAAATATCTTCCCCTCACAGCTGCCAGAGGCGCACTGAGTACAAGCCGTGACGTGTTCTCAGTTGCCAAATGTCAGCACTTGCCAACAAACCAAGCGTTTTGACATCTTGCATCCCAGGACAGGTTTCACAACATATGATCTTATTTTTGCGAGAACTTAGTTCGTCGGCCCTATCGCGACTTAACATTCCGCGCAGACTGTATTTAAACCTGCTTGTAGGATAATGGAGATCAAGATTTGTGAAATGAAAGATTCAGAATTGTATATAACCATAAGCTCAGGTGAATGGGGAAAATGTTAATTGCACAAAAATGAATAAAGATAAATTAAGTGTAAAGAATGAAAATGTGTATGAAATGTATGTGAATAAAGATAATTGTTAAGTTGCATGTTTAACATCAGTCACTGACAACATTAAGTTGATTAGTCATGTTTGTTCATATTGACATTGTCATGTACGAAAATATACTTGTGTCCAGAATCCACGATGATTCTTAAAGCAGTATCTATTTGACAATGATTTTAAATACTATTCTTATTACCAGTACATGTACTTCTTTTTCTCCAGATGCGGCAAGAAGTCTATTTTCTTTCGTCACAAAAGACCAGACCAAGTTTATTTGGGCTACCTCTTGTTGTCCCGTGCAGCACCTTTGCTACGCATCAAGTAAGTACAGTATTGTCCTTTAAAGAAATTATTTTTCTTGAGTTCTGATAAGACATGAAGTGTTAAAATGTCTAAATTTTTACATTATCATCGTGTTTTCATTCATAGATTAAATATTAATTTGAGGCATTTAGCTATATAGAGTAGTGCCTTGACTAATGGTCTGTACAATTTGTAAATACCGCACTGTGTACACAAAATACTTTCTCGGTATTATCTACCATACTCGGCGTATATGACGGAATTTGAACATTTAAAAAATCAGCCCAAAATTAGGGGTCGTCTTAAATGCCGGGTATAAAATCTGAACCTCTACATCCTGTGGTTTAGTGTGTCACCAGTGGTGATGAAGAACATCGTAAAACACTCGCCTTAATCCCACGGTCCTACCACTAATTATTTTCTACTGAAACTTACATTTGGGAAGCTGGATTAAAAATAAGATTACAGGTATATTAAAATAATAAAAATGTATTATAAACCTATTTAACATACCGTAAATACCGCCCGCCATTTGCAACTGCCGCAGAAGTAAACAAACAGCCAGTCCTACTGATCGTCTCGCGAAATAAGTTAATAAACGCAGGTATCATCACACACCTCCCGCCATTTGCATCTGCCGCTGAAGTAAACAAACGGCCAGTCCTACCGATCATCTCTCGAAGCAATTTTGTAAATTAAAGAAAATACCTGCAGTGTATTTTATGCCTACATTTCTAATATATTACAGTATATTATAAATAAATAAACAAATAAATCAGTAAATCCATTTCAAGTAAATGGTAAAATTTTACTCGACACCGACATTAGTTCCAGTAAAATAACCGACGCCTAAGTGACGTCACTAGTGTTTACACTACACCAGCTGGTAATGTTTGATGCAGATTATGGTAAGTAGTTGACAATATTTTGCCATTACTTGAAGTGAATTGGCCTTATTTTAAATAACCAAGGATGTGTTGCTTAGCAGTGTGTTAAACAGCATCACTCCACTGGTCAGTGGGATGGTTGGTAAAGGACTACTGGGGTACTAAGCTCCCAGTGGTAAGTGTCAGATTTGAGGTAGTCTTATACAGTGAGTACAGCTCAAAACCTACGTTTTAAATGGAAATTTTTGGGGTCGTCTTATACACCCCGTGGCCTTGTACACTGACATATACGGTAGTATTTAAATTTTCATGCATCTTATGATACAGAATTGTTCCCGCTGTATATCTCATGTACAGTGTTGTAAGAATCCACAGGTGTCTCATTTCATAATTGGGTTCATTAGATAAGGCAAAACTTCAGAAATAATAAAAAATTTGGTATTTCAGGACTTGTATCAAGGTGTGTGGACACAGGTGTCAAGATTAGTCTCGCCACTACCTCCAACTGAAGCTGCCGGACCTAATCATGCTCATGATTGGTGAGCATTACTATATTTTAAATATATTAATTAGTTTAGATTGTACATTGGTTTGTTTTCTCTTTAAATCTAGGAACAACATATGATGCTTTCATTGAAGAGTGGAACTGGTTTCCAATGAAACTAAACTGACATCAGGGCTGTATAATGTTGTCATGATTATCCAATATTTTCATAAATGGGGTGGGTTGGAAGGGAGAAGAAAGCAAGAGTAATGGAGAAGGGTACAAGTATTGTAAATATACAGTATATACAGCTTTGCCCTTCGGACAGTGTGTGCATGTAAATGAGTTTCAATAAATGAATAAAGTTACATATATCGAGCCAAAAATAATAGTTGAAAAACTTTATGTAGACAGAGCTTGGATGGCTAAATTTTAGAATGACCAATAATTTTAATATAAAAAATGCACAAATATTAAAGAACACAATTTTCTTGATATTTACTCCGCTGGGAATGAATGGCAACACTGGTGCATGTAACCACTCCTTTCCACTCCATCTCTAATCACCCATTCCTTTCTGCTTTCTCACTCCACATTTTAAAAATTTATGTAATGTCATGTTGAAGGAATATAATGCAATAAGTGTAAGTATAAAAAATACTGTATTTTAGCTTTCATGTTTATTTAAGACATCTTTAAGTCCTCAGACTCACTAATCCCCCACCCGACAATGGGTGACCTGACATTGTATCAGAAGGTCAGTAATATGAGATCATTAATACCCCACCCTACCTCCACCTGAAATTGTGTCAGGTCAGGTCAGTTACACAAGACCCATGAATCTCCCACAGCTGCAAGGGAGTGGAAAATACCAGTCCTTGCTGTAACACAGCTTCATTCTTCATTCACGACCATATCATTTAGATTTATAGTTAAGACTCTTGGAAAACTCCCCAGCACACAGAAACATTCCAAGGATGTGGGCTAGTGTTTTTCTGTGCAAGCTGCATAGTTTAGATACTTGGAAAGTTTTTTCCAGTAACCAGAAATATTTCAGGGGATGGGGGATTTTTCCGGGTTTAAGAAAGTCATCCGGTTAGCCAGAAATCTCTCATCCCAGGAAGTGCTCTACACCAATTGTTCCGGTTAACGGGGATATCACTGTAGTATATACATACTGTACAGTAATATCTCCGTTAGCTGGAATCCCTCAAACCCGGAACTCTCCAATAGCCGGAATTGAAATTTTCTCGGAAAATCGTTCCCAAAGCCAAAATTTTCCGGAAAATTCCGGCTTTGGGAACGATTTTCCGGAGAGAAAATTTTCCCAGTACCTGGAAAATTTCAGGGATAGGGGAGTTTTTCCGGGTTTTAGAGATGAAAATCAGATGCATTTTCTGGAAATTTTGAGAAAAATTTTCCATTACCGGGAAAATTCCAGGGATGAGGGATATTTTTCCGGGTTCAAGATATGATGTAATGGGCAACATCTTGAACTTCCAAGAACATTTTTCCGTTACCCTGAAAATTCCGGGGTTGAGGGATTTTTCCGGCTTTGAGAGAGTCGTCTCGTTCCCTGAAGTGCTCTGCACCAATTGTTCCGGCTAACAGGGATATCACTGTGACCGGGGAACGCTAACCGCTGGACCACCAGGATACTAAAAGCAGTCATGGGCTAGTGGGCCGTGGGTTCGAATCCTGGCGGGTTGAGGTGTTGATTGTATGTAGAAGACTGCGTGCTATTGGGTTAATGAAATATATATGGATCCTCGTGTTTCGAAGCCGGATTTGGTAAAACGTTACTCTGACCACCTACGTGATACGGGTAGTCCCCATTAGAGGTTCACGGCGCCATAAGCTCGTTGAACAGGCTTTGTGTGAAATATAACAAAGTCTAGGACTGCTTTTAGTATCCTGGTGGTCCAGTGGTTAGTATATATGTCATATATATATATATATATATATATATATATATATATATATATATATATATATATATATATATATATATATATATATATATATATATATATATATATATATATATATATATATATATATATATATATATATATATATATATATATATATATATACACAGTAGTACCCCGATTTACGCGGTCAATTGAACCCACAGGGTACCGCGGAAAGTGAACAACAGAACATAAGGGATTAATTCCAATAGAGACTGGCCCGACCCCCAAACTCCACTTTTTCCAACACAATACCTATGTTGTAGTAAAAATAACATCTTAATTTTATGATGGTATGCATACAAAATTATTATTATTATTATTATTATATTTTTTTTTTATTATATTTTCGCCCCCCAGGCTCTGATGTGGGTCAGTGATCTGTGTCCGGGTGGGCTAATACACATTAAAAAAAAAAAAATCTGAAAACTAAAAAAATCCAAAATCCGAAATGCCTCTGGCCCCAAGGATTTCGGACAAGGGATTGTCAACCTGTATTACAGTAGATCTAAAATTTGTATGTCTAATGCAAAATCCATGATGTTTATATTCAAAATGATCATCATATTGTAAGAATTCCAGCAATGTAAATTATATTCTGGCAGAGTAATTTGTATGAATTTTATGAGCTAAAACAAATATCTTCAATAAATAAAAAAAATATTCATCACCCAGACACTATATGTCAATCAAAATACCCAACCTCCCTCTTCACACGATGGCTGGGTCCCTCCCTCCCGCCCTACCCCCCACTCCCTACCTTCCCTCCCTACCAGAGAAATGTTTGGGAGAAAACAGTGTGTT